AAAAAGCGAATAAATAAGATATAGTATATTTTAATAGTAACTTTAATCAGAACTACTTTGAACTATTTCTATCGTGGAAGATAAAAATTCAAGCCTACGGTTACATTAGATCATTTATACAAACATTTATATACATAATTAAATATGTACGAACTTTATACGTAAATTTCGAAATCACATACAATTCGATATTCTACAAATATCTTACGTATGGTTGGAAAAAAATATCGGAATTTATTCGATACACTAATTTAAAGTAAATGAATAGCTATCGCGATATTAAATTTGTTTTTATACGTACAATCACAAATTATATATTGAGATGTTTAATTTGAATTAATTTGAATTAATTTTTGCTCCCGTTCCTACGAATAACATACAACATGAATTACGTGTTCGGATAAAAAGAAAAAGTCTATTATTGAAAAAACAATATCGTCATTTCTAATAAGTGCAACAACAACGATAAAACTTGTTACGACGAAACTAATGACTGTTGGACCTTGACTACTGTAGCAGCTTGAAGAGAGAAAACGAGATTATTTTGTTTCAAGAGACTGGTAATTGAATTTATGACCCTGTCTGTAAACGTTTGGAAACACGATACGACGGAAACGTGAATGTACTTTGGATGGACGGATACGATTGAAACTTGTAACGGAAATATTTAAAACGCGTTTTTAAAACGTTTCTAAAACATTAAATAAAAACAGAATAAAATTAGAAAGAAGTGAGCTAGGGAAGGGGGAATTATTTCGAAAGTAATTAAAGACAGAAGTGGATTTTGTTTGACAATAATGTATTCGCCTCGAGGCACATGGATATTTCTCCAGTACTATTATCTATAAAGATGTGTTACGTGTGTTATATATGTACATAAAGTTGAAATTAACGTGGTACACTTGGCGCATTTGGTCATGGCATTGCCATAAAGCACCGTAAACATAACACACAGGAATTCGTTCAGATGCTGCCGATTCAATTAACGCTACAACACTAAACCAACGACTGTGTACAATTAACAGCAATTAAGTGTGCATCTTCCTTACGGCTTGACGAACATCCAAGCATAACACGTACTCATGACTCACTTTTGTTGCTCTTTTCTTCTATCACCTTGTTCGAAACAGTACGATCGATTTTACACGTTGAATATAGTCGATGGAAACGGAAAACGCCTTGTTGTGGAAAATGAAGATGATATGAGCGACGAACGTTAATCATTTACGCCTGACAACAAGCTTCCATCCTTCTCGAATATAATTCATGATTTTAAGCCACTGAGAGAGAGAAAGAGAGAGAGAGAAGAGAGACCGATGCGTTGATGGAGAATGCAATTGACATCTCGCTATCTATAATCGTTATCATCCACATCGACAGCAAAATTAGAAATGAGAAATAGATATTTAATCAAGCGAATTGTTTAACACGTTCACGATGGGTTAAATCACCGATGGTAGATTCATGGTGTAGTAAATTTAGGCCCGGTCGCGAACGTGTTAATCATATTTATGTGTAAGAGACATTTCTATGGCGATATTTGAAGAATTGATTTACAAGCTCTTGCTCATGCACGTATTTATCTGGTGTACATAATCAAGTAACATGGAAGCTAGGACAGTGAACGCACAGATGCCTGTCACAACCCTGCCACCTACATGAGCTGTTGCAGCTGCATTAATTCTATAAACCTAAAATGGACCATCTAGAAGAAAGTTAGAAAAAGTCGAGAAAGAAAAGTTCATCGTACTAAATTCACTTACTAAGTGTACTCCACCGGTGCTAACTCGTTTATCGTAATATACTGTCTACCTTAAGTGACAACTCTCGGTGATAGCATTATGTATCGGATTATCGACAGTCTTTATGGTACTTCGGATGTTCAAATAGAATTGCAAAAATCTATTTGCAATGGCAGTCAATGTCTTCTTTTTTTATATCGTTCAACTCAATTCTTATACAAATGTGGCTTATATCAAACCGACCATTTGGTATGGAATTTTACGATAGCGAATGTTAATTTTAAAATAAACAATATTTGCATTCATAGAAATTGCAAATTTGCGTTATCGTGTGTTATTAGTCGAGAAATGAACCATTGGGTACTGAGAGATTTCCCACAGGAATTACCAAAGGCAACTATATCGTATCATCATAATTTTTCTCTTTTTTCGTTAAATAAGTATGAGCTTGTAAAGCATACGATGTATGTATGCTAAATATTTTAATATATATATATATCATTGAATAAATTTATAAATACATATTTACATAATAATTCTACAAACGAAAATGAGCATTATAAACACGAAATGTAATGTGCCTAAAAACATGCATCACTTCATACTTCGTCAGTAATCATTATTGTAGATACCATACGTCGGTAAGAAACTTTTTAAGCTTTTATGGTAAATAACGTGTGGCCTACTCATGAATGAATATATTGCTTACTAGAAGAAACTTTAAAAGTTTCGTAGAAGTAAATAATTCTTACGATTATAATTATTAGTAAAGTATGAAATGATATATTGTTGGGTTATAGTAAAATAATGTATAAAAAAAAGTTAATTGTATTATTTTATGAATAGTAAATTAAGGAATAAATGGATTAGTTGTACTATTTAGATTCTTATAATTATTTCCGTAGTAAGTAGTAGAAAGATTTTTTAAATATTCCATCATGAAAAAAGAAAAAATTACTTATTTATCTAATTCATTAATTCATAACGAAGGTATTTATGTAAAAAGTTGTCTACGAGTGTTTATTTATAAAATAAAAATTATCCGTATCATGATAAAAAGAAAAAGAAAAAAAATAGCATGCCTATTTTTATATGTTCCATAAAATGCATTGGGATGGTGATAGATGATGGTAGAAAAACGCCTAGCCTTTGCATCTGTCTGCAATATTTCATTGTATACACGACTCCCTTGTTTACCGTACTGCAAACAACAGATCTAGACTTCGTATCTGCGCTCTACACCGAGTTGGAACATATTTCAAAATGTGATAAAACCTGCATTTTTCGTACGTTTTCACGTGAATAAAGAAAATAGGTATAAAATACAAATATAGAAATATAATTTGTATATTTTATATATACACCATTGATCAAATTATTTGTAGTTATTCCAAATAGTAATAATTAAACATGCGTAGAGTTAATAATAAATGAATATATTTACGTGATTTACAGCGAATCACATATTAGTATTTTAATAAATCCATTAATATAATTACTATCAATTATCCATTATTATTAAAAACTCATGTTTATAACGTGAGTTAATATACTTTTCACATTGAAAATTTATGAGAATGTCAGAAATGCAACAGGTACTCCATGTAAAGATTATTTCGTAATTTATATAGAAATATATTAATATTATATTATTATTTTATCATCCTACAATTATACATTTCGTTCTACGTAATATTACACCTTCCACTTGAGCGATAATAATAAACTTCTAACTTGACAGCTTGAAATATTTCCTTATGTCTTATCTTTCTCATCTTGTTTCGCAAAAGCTATTCTCCTAAAAACATAAATCTATTGTGTTGTAAATTCTATATTTTTCTCTCTTTCTCTTTCTCTTTCTCTCTCTTACGTTTGTTATCGATTATCACGTTAAAAAAAAAAAGAGAAAAGAATAACATTGCATTGGTTACGAATGAGAAGAATCTTATTTAATATGCAAAACATTGAAAGTTCAAGTGATGACGTTCGATTATTTTAGAACATTGGATGTTCTTCTATTGCCTCGTGAATAATACAACACGATCTATAATAACTATCGCGAGACAGATTAATAAAAATTGTCGTTTCTCGATATTTCTGTTTCACGATCAATGCAGCACAAGAATACGAAAAAAAGAAAGAGGTCACGATGGGTAACTTGATTCTTTCGAACGAATGTAGATTTGAAATTTTCAATATGTATCCTTGCAGAAGAGGTTGAAATAGAGAGAATACGCTTTCTCTCGTATTTTTCTGAAAAGATTTTTAAGGGATGAGAACTCATTCTCTTAAATCGAACGAGATTTTAAAAAGAAACATTATAAAAGAAGAAAAACAAATGTTTCAAATACACTTGATGAGTCTTATCCATTTTCCTATACATATACTCTTTTATACTTTCCTATATAGTTTTATTTTTCCATAAAGCTGCACGTATGTGTAATATATATACAGAGATGAACTTTCCCAATAGGACATATTTGGCAACTTCTACAAGAAAGAATAGAAAAATATTCAATTAGAAACACTCGCAAAATTAATTGCAAAAATGACCAGAATATATTAGGCTATCATTAAAACTAAAGTCAATTTTGATTAAAATAAAAATAATACCAAATGTAAAACATACTACTTATAAATTTCGGTTGACAAATAAATTTTCCTCCCTTACTTTAAAGATATTCATTTTTTTTTTCTATAAATAATATCATTTTTTTTCTAAATTTGCGTAGTGATTCCAAAGATTTTGCCGATAGTGTGTATATCACGAAAGTTTCGTGGTGCAAATAATCGATTAGTACAAAGCTGTCGAATTATTAGATACTATTTTTGCTTCGTTCGAACGATATAAGTTCAGATTTGATTTGACTTGACGACATTGAAACACGATGTCAATCCAACGAAAAGAATTCGTCATGGCACAAATGTTTTTTTCAATCAGACGGCTATGAATTTACAGTCGATACGATGTTTGAACGAAAAGAAGAAGAAAAAAAGATATTAAAAGAAAAAAACACGAGATAGGTAAAATTGTGTCACAACCGATAAAGTACCCCCCTCTTCTCGTAGTAACCTATTTCTGAAAACAAGGTTATTAACATTTTCAAGCTTAACTAAGTACACACAATTATAGTCTTTTGAAATATAAACCATGATGATAATACTGTAATATAATTAGTAGGTTTATATTAATATTTAAATATAAAAATACTAAACACTGAAGGGATGATTTAAAATGGTAATATTTGAATTTCACAGAGAACGCAAGTCGATGGTGTTGGCAAAATGGTACATGGGATAGTTATACAAATTATTCTTCGTGTCATAACATTCAACCTTCAACCGTAGAAGCTGATGTAGAAATTACAACAAAAATATACTTCATTGGTTATGGCTTATCTCTTTGTACACTAGCAGTAGCTGTCTCCATATTTCTATATTTTAAGTAAGTATGACCTATCTTAATAAAGCGAAAAAGTATTGATATTAAGCGGAAAATGTCATCTGATAGCATTTGAAATATTTTTTTTTTATTCTTTTATTATAATATTTTATTCCATCAGAAAATAATTCTTCCGTTCCCTAATGAAAATGCAATGGCGTTGGTATTTTATATAACACCATGAATAGTTTCATTGCAATATAGTTCTTTACATAAGTTCAGAAATACAATTTCCATATTTGAATATTACACGAAAATTTACATAAATATATTAATATGATAATTTATTATTAAATATTGAAACATATATATATTTTAATTTTTTTCCGTGTTATAGAGAACTGAGATGTCTCAGGAACAATATTCATATAAATTTAATGTTAACGTACATTCTGGCTGACCTTATGTGGATATTAACTACCGCAATGCAGGTATAGTTAAACTTACCATCATATGAACCTGATGTTAATCAACATTTTTTACGATAATGTTAATAATTTTTGTTTTTAAATTAAACTGTAAAAATTTATTTTTCCATCTGAAACGAACTGATATATAAGAATGCAAGTGAAACTTTTTCATGCATTTTTTTATATAGAAACGATTGAATATTGAGTCTTACTGTTATCATAATGCATGGTTCTGATGAACCGCTACAATTATGTAGAATTTAAAAAAAAATCGGTGTCCTATCAACTTATCTCTCTTCGTGTAAAACTCTACAGATTAAGCGTTAATCGAATAAATTACTTTCTGCACTTGCTCTTTCTCGTCGGCACGATTTCGAATAATAGAGACTAAGCTCACTTAATGTATCCTTAATCTCTTTTAGAATCTGTAGAGTTAAGGTTCCCGATTAAATGGCTATCGAAGTATTTTCCCATCTATATAAACATTTTATATTTTATAATGAATAAATTAACAAAGACAAAGATATCTAATGACAATAATTTGCTAATAATAATTATTAGTCGATTTCTTCTTATCACATTTTGTAGGTTTCCATGCAAACAGATATACCAACTTGTGTCATGTTCTTCTCCCTTCTTCATTATTTTCAACTGACCAATTTCTTCTGGATGTTTGTCGAAGGTCAGTATATTGTTAATTAAATTCAAACAAGTAAAGCAAAGAACAAATATTAGCTTGATAGAAAAATAATTACTGTTTTTATTATTTTATACTTGATACTTGATTTTTAAGCTATTGACTATAATGATTCGAGGGAACATTATTGAAACGAATTCATGTAAAACAACTCAAGAGGTTGCAGAAGAACTCAATATTTATCATTCAACAGTAACACGATATTTAACTAATAGTAAATTCTTTAAATTTGATATTTATAAAGATCGATTATATTATATATATTTATTCTATATTTATCGAAGATAAATTAACCGTATATATAAATGTTATACGTAAATCATAACAAAGCTCAAAGTAAATGTTCTAATTATTTTCTATTTGCAGGATTGTATCTCTATTTGTTAGTTGTAAGAACTTTTACGGGTGATAATATTAAGTTGAGGATGTGTCTTGTGATCGGTTGGGGTAAGTTTTTCAGATCTTATCGTTGATAATTTTGTATAATATTTCTAACGCTTCAGTTTTTTTTCACGTATAATCCATAAATCTGATTTGAAGGTGTTCCAATTTTCATCATAGCCATATGGGGTATTGCCAAATCTTTGGTCACTCAAGAAAATCAGGTATAAAGATATTAAATTGAATGAACAAAGATATTCGTCATATTTGAAATCTATATCGATCATATTTTACAGAATATCGCACTTTGGAAACACTGTCCATGGATGACATCACATCCATGCGATTGGATTTATCAAGCATCTGTCATTACAGTTCTTGCTGTTAATGTAATTTTCTTATTCTTGATCATGTGGGTATGTATTTATGTTGTAGACACGTAAAAAACAATCTCTTGTACGAATGAGCGTTGACTCTCGATTATTTTTTCTTCATTTCTAATAGGTACTAATAACTAAATTATGGTCCGCGAACAATGCAGAAACGCAACAATACAGAAAAGCTAGCAAAGCTTTACTGGTGCTCATACCACTTCTTGGAGTGACATATGTTCTGGTTCTCGCTGGACCAACGGAAGGTCAAGCGGCTAATGCATTTTCTTACACCCGTGCTGTGTTACTTTCTTCTCAGGTAATATTACGACAGAAAGGTCCTTTAATGGTAAGCTTCTGTTACGCTCGCCATTAGGACAGAGAGAAACTTTAAAGGAAAGCTTTTAAAATAGAATAGAATCATTGCCTAAAAATTTCTGTCGCTTGGAAATTTATTGCACATTTTGATGGTGTCGCAATCATTTACTTTTTTTTTTTAAATATAATATCCTAAAAAATAATAGTCTTAAAAAGAATCGAATGTAAAAGAAGAAAATGCAAGGATCTGAAATGCTTTTTTTGACGACAGGGTTTGCTGGTGACGCTATTCTATTGTTTTCTCAATACCGAGGTGCAAAGTGCACTGAGACATCACTTTGCAACGTGGACAACGTCGCGTGATCTTGGCAATAGTCGAAGGTATTACAAGAATTGGTCTCCGCGCTCAAGAACAGAAAGCATAAGGTACTTGAAGTCCGCGCCGAAGACGCGCACGTCTTAAAATCGCTTTGCGGTGCTTCAAGACGTTGAAAGAACGCAGAAATGACGAACGTGAGCGACTCTCCTCTTTTAATTTTATTTTGTAAGACGACCGAAATGTAGAAAATCGAGAGAAGCTGCGTTTCTTCAACGATAAATCTTATCGAGAAATAATCAAGGTATATCTAATGAAAGGAAATAGAAAATCAATAGAAAATAAAATTTTCTCGCGAAATAAATATAACATAACTCTATATCATTAAAAGAGATATACGCGTAGGTGAGTTGAAAAGTTTTGAACTTGACATAGAAACCATTGTTGTCGATTAAACTCATTTTTATTTCAAAACGAACAAATTTTTCTTTGTTGAACCTCCAAACTTGTCTACCCACCTACGTATATTATTGCGTTAAGACTTTTAAATCGAGCCACGACGAGAGAATAAATCCTCGTCGAAATATTCTTGATTACTAAACGATAACGTTTTCTAAATGATCTTCAGGCTATACGGCCAACCTTCAAATCCATATCGTAAAAGGGAATCTACGGTAAGTGAAACAACAACCACAACGGTGATAGGTCCAAATTCAACAACAACCTTTCTGGACAAATCTAAGAAACCCATTTCAGAAGACTCAAATGAATAAAGTTTAACACAAAGCGAATTTTGATGGGAGAAGAAACTGTGGTAAGATAATTAAGCGTAATGAACTCATTGTAGAAATATCTTTTCATAAATGTCATCGTGTTATCAATTATGATGTTAATATATTGATGATGTACTTCTCGCGATCTGTATACATTGTATATGTTATTGATTGCTTCAAAATTTTCAACGCATCTTTGTTCACTTAAAAAGTATTCACGATTTTTCTACCAGCCAAAAATTATGATATATAATTAATATTAATATGCATTAAATCGATTAAATACTACTAATAAATATTATATTATTATTTTGTTATAAGATTATAAGACTCCTTTATTTTTCCACTTTTATCGTTAGCAATAATAGAGTTTTTGTTTGTTTTTAAATATTTAAAAATCTGTAAGCAAACTTGAAAGATGAGATTCAAATGTCTATACGAGTGTACGTATTTATGTATAGAAATTAATTTTCAATTATAGGAATCCATAAAATTCATTTACATATATTCCTTGGATATATACACGTTCGCTGATACATATATATATTGGGTAAGTAATCGTATGTCATTATAATATTTTGTTTTATTTTTTCATGTAAAATCAACCCCTATCTAGTTGTACTACGATTACTAACCCACCCTGTATAATAATATTCTACACATACCTCCTGACTTACAGCATGGTACGATTAAAATTAATGTATATGTATAGTATTTTATCTATTAGTATTTAATTATTGTAAATGAAATATTGTATGTGTACATAAAATAGTATAAGAGCATATAATATTAAGTTATGCAGTTGAGATCTTCATTTTGGATTATCTTCATTTTCACATTGTAAAATTCAATTAAATATTAATTACAAACTAGACTGAATAATATTATTTTAAGGAAATGTAAAACGCGGAATAACTCTATCAAATATATTTGAAAATGTTACTAAAAAAAACAAAGTAATGTCATAAATAAGTAATTTGATTATAGGATGTTACATATTTACTAATTGATTTAGGAATCTAAATGAAAAGTGACATTTTTTTCAAAATTATATAAAGATTTTAGAAATCTGTACCTGACATTTCAAGATTCTTTAAAAGACTTTCAAAGTGTCTATTTTACACATAAGCACCTCTTGTATTGGACATTTCATTATAATATTACAAGATCACAGACACACCATTATATTTGACATTACGTGAAATTAACAGCTTCGGTAAGTTTATAGTTACTATTTTTTTAATAACAAGAATTATTGATTGTAATAACGACTGCAAGAACAGAATTTATTTTGCGAAAGCTATAAATTAGCGATTGATATGTACAAAATATGAAATAAAAACTGAACAGAGAAACAACGTCCTCATTATGCATCTATAATAACATGTAAGTTTATATATGTTATACTCCTTTTACGTAGTTTAGAGCTGATACATATAGTAATTGATACAGAAATTTACGATAAAAAACAATATTTTAGTAAAAATAATAAAAAATAAGTAAAGAATTAAAAATTATTATTTTAATAAAAAGAAAAATTCACGCACACATGTAAATAGGAGTATTGTACAGATTCATTTAAAATTTATTATATTATACCAAAGAATCGAGAAGTACATAGAAGCTCACAAATCCACTTTTGTATCTACCCAGATTCATCTTAATTACTACTGGGACCACCAGTGGGCGATAGTAAGTACTTAACGAGATGACGGTAAAGTAAACACTATTCTTTAGTGTATTTATATTTATATTATATTTATATTTTAAAAGATATGATAAAATATAAATGTATTGGAAAAGTTCAAATCTCGAATTGATTTTTTAATTTCTAATTTATTGATCTGTTAATCTTTTTCAATTGAGAGGTGACTCGCAGTCATCATTTTGTTGCTGCAACTCGAGAGATGACTTTCGGTTACCATTCGGTTTGCGCGATATGCGATCACTGTTATAAGATGGCGATGTTTATTTTTCTTTGATTCTTATGAAAAAGGAAATGCATAACTTTCCAAAATGTAATATGATATACCTTTATATAGCGATAAGATTTTTTTATTTCAAATTAGTCGGCGATTCTGTATCAGATTTCGTTTCTCTGCATTAATCTGAGCTCGGTAGTCGTGACAATAAGAATATTATTTTTTAATTTATGATATCCTATAAGCATGGAATACTATAAAGAAATTAATTCAAGTGAAGATGAATTTGATTTTTTGTTATTAAATAACGAAATTACATCTATCTACAAAACACTTGTTAATAGAGAAGAGGAAAGCAGTGATGAAGATAGTGATGAAGATAGTGATGAAGTAAGAGATGTAAGAACGCGAAAAATCAGAGTAATAGAGAATGAATATGAAAGCGACAGTGATTCCGCAGAAGAAACAGAAATTTCGGAATGGATAACGTGCACAGAATCCGAAGAAATACCACAAAGAATACCATTTGTACCCGGCGAAAGATCCGCAGGACCACAAGTATCTTCAAACATAAAAGAACCTTTAGATTTTTTTAAATTATTTTTTACCGATCAACTAATTAATGAAATAGTGCATGAAACTAATAATTATGCTACAAAGAAGTTAGAAGAGAAGACACTATCATCGCATTCTATATGGCGAACTTGGTATAAAGTGACCAACGAAGAATTCTGGGCGTTTATTGCATTAATAATAAATATGGGGACCATGCCGTTGACAAACTTACAAAAATATTGGTCAAGAAATAATGTTAGCCACATTCCTTTTTATTCAAACACATTCACGAGAGATAGATTTAGCCAAATCTTTTGGATGCTTCATTTGAAGACAATTTCAACACAAAATACAAATCCAAGAACCCGTTTACAGTTAGTAAGCAGCTTCCTTGATTACATAAATTCCAAATTCTTGAACTACTTTATACCAGGACAACAGATTTGTATGAATGAGTCCACTATCAAATTCAAAGGTCAGGTTTCATTCATTACCTATAATCCAAAGAAATCAACCAAATGGGGTATTAGAATTTACACAATAGTAGATTCCAACACTGGCTATGTTTGTGGTATACTACCCTATTATGGAGCTCTGACAACAGAAAAATTGATAAGACCTGACCTTCCAATATCAACTAGAATTCCACTGCATCTCTACACGATGATGTTGGAAAAAATTCCCGGTGCTCAGGGACACCACCTATTCACGGATCAGTATTATACTAGTTATATTTTGGCTAAAGAATTACGCGAACTGAAGTGCCACTTAACTGGGACGATCCTAACAAATAAGAAGGAACTGCCATTACTAATAAGAAAACCAGAATTCCAGAAGAATTCTACAGTAGCATATCGCAAAGGTAATACTTTAGTTTTAGCATGGAAGGACAAAAGGATTGTCACGTGTTTGACCACTTGGGATAATGCAGGTGTAACTGCCACAAAAAGAATTTTGCGAGGTGGTATTGAAGTTACTGTAAAAAAACCTAATGTTATAATAAATTATATAAAATATATGGGTGGTGTTGATCAAGCTGACCAATATGCTTCAACATACTGTTTTTTAAGGAAGTCCTTGAAATGGTGGAGAAAACTATTTTTTTGGGGTTTAGAGATCTGCTTAATCAATTCTTATATTCTTTATAAATCAGTAAAGAAGCAGAGAAACGAACGGCCACTTACTCATCTGCAGTATGTAAAAACTTTAGTTGACCAATTGAGAGGAGATTTTCACCAGACACGAGATCGAGTTTCTACTTCGACCTGCAGTTTTGATGAAATTCGATTGAATGGAAAGCTACATATTATGCTAACAGGAGTTAAGAAGGATTGCAAAGTTTGCTCTCAACGAATAAAGTCTGGCGAAAGACACCAAACTACATATTATTGTGATACTTGCCCTGACAAGCCAAGGATGCATCTTGGAGATTGTTTTATAAAATACCATACAAAGCAACAATACAAATCTTAATGTTTAACAAATTTCTTTCTTTGAAATATAAAGATATATAAAATATTAAAATATAAAAGTCTTATACATTAATTTGTATATGAAATTATTTTAAGTTAACTGTAAGAAATTTACCAAATATGTAAAGGATTAATAAAAAAAATTCTTCCTCTTACGGGTTCAATTAATCGTTCATATTACAATCAGCATAATACACGAAAAAATTACATCACTCGCGACCCATTAATTTATTACATTGCTAAATTCCATGTAGAAATATAATATAAAATAAAAATTATGTGAGAAAAAAAAATATATGCATATATGTGCATATGCATAAAATAGCTTCCTTCGATTTAAACAAGGAAGGTTATATTCGGTGCACGGTATATTTGTGTATATACAAAACAGGATAAAAAAAACAATATTATAAAGTTAAGAAATGGATCTGAAACTGTATTGTGAATTCTATGTATATGAATTAATTTTTACATTCAGTGATAATTTAATATTATATTAACAACTGCATAATTGTTCATATTGTTATCATGTCCACATTTATGTAAGACCTAACAATACTTTGTACAAGTTTTATAATACACATATATTACGATGTGATTCAGTTTATATACTGCATAACATGATATTTTGGAATAATGCTTGTATAGAATAATCTTTTCCTGGTAAAAGGAAATGAACTTATTCATACATAGCATCATAAAAAAATGTTTCATAGTAAAATTTCACTTGTTTCTCCATCCGATGCTTGGAAAATTGAAATCTATACTTATGCGCTTGTATGAATAAGCATTTTTTCCAACTATTCAGTTCGCTGGTATTAATCTTGAAGTATCCTCATGATTCTGATACTTTGGTTTTCCATGAGTAAAAGGCAAATATCTGTACTTGATCATATGCTGAAAGTAATTTATATATGCATAAGCTGATATATTAGTTTGAATTAATCGTAACTAAATAGAAAACTATTTTTATATTTTTATTTATTTTACTTGTCTATAAAGGACTTGTAAAAATAGATATGATGAAATCTTACCTTAATTTGACGCTTCATTGTAATGCAGAATAATGTTATGAAATACATAACTAATATTGGCCAAAATACTGGTATATTGAAGAAATCAAAGAGGGTGCATATCATAGCAATAATTGTAGATTTCGTCACGGAGTACCAAAATTTAAATTCAGGCAATCTTCTTATAAATGGCCTGAATTCTTCATTGGCCCTTGTAGGTAACTCTGGGCCTTCGATATCTATGAAAAAGTTATAAAAACAAAAATTATATCTGGAATAATTTTTTAAATACGATATTACTATGATAAATCTATTAAAAAAGCTACCATCCAAATCCATTGCAGGATCTATCTTCGGTGTAAGGAATGCTATGAATAAATTCAAGTGATAAATTCCTAATGCATATGTTACTATATACCACCCCTAAAAGAGGATATAAATATTAAGAATGTTATTAATAAAATAATATCGATAAACTCATCTCATTAATGATCAATTATAAAATGTATATTTACCTGAGTAAGGAACACACGTAGAAAAAAAATGATTACTAGAAGTAAAGCAAAAACCCATCTTGATATAACATGTGGAGTCCACAAGTCTAAGTATCGCTGATGTGCCTATATATAAAGTAAATTTATTTTATAAGATATTAATATAGATGAAATATTATATAAAAAAATTTTTAACACGTTCCCTGTCATGCTGTTTATAAGGAGATGTCATTTCTAGGAATACCTGTTTTTAACTTGTTTTTTAGAGAATATATATTACTTTCATAATTATAAATATTGAAACGACAAAATGCGCAAAAAATAACACTAATAAATTAAATTTATTTCATTTTGAATAATTGAAATAAAAGTTATGTACAAAAGTGAATACGAAATAGAAAGTATATCCTATATTTGACTTATATTTTCATGTAGCGATGAATTTTGTTAAAATAATTAATGCGTAAGTTATGGCAATCATTACAAAAGGTTGTTACCTTTTTTGTGGTATTTCACGCGGTTTCACTATTATAATTTACACATAATTTTTTACCGTTATCGGTACACGACTCAAAAATTGCTGTAAACATCATTACGTTACATAAGACAGTGTTACCAGCAATTACTTTTAGATGAAAACATCTCAAATTAAAAAATTCAGCTTGATGTACAAATGCATTTTAGCGTGTACCAAAAACGGTATACGTGGCAAGGAACGTGTTAACTATCTTATAATGCCTGATCTTTATACGAAACTCTATATTTGGATAACAAAGTAATTACTAATAAAATAGATATTACTAATAAAATAGATATTACTAACCTGTGATATTTTTGATATTGTTTGAAAAAAAATATTTCGTCTAGCTGGACCCCCAAGATCCTCATCTTGCATCATTTTACTTTTCTAAAGTATAAATTTAATGTCTATTATATTCCAGCTTCAACTCAGGGAACGATAGTTGAATACTACACAATAGTTGCTGCATATATCCAAAAACGATTAATGCTGATATCTAGGAACCATTACAAATATATTACACAGTACTATTTCTGATCTTAAAAATGAAACTTTGTAACATATATCAAAATAATTCAGATAGAAATATAATCTGATTATCTTGGTCTATCACCCGAAAGAAAAATATTAATGCCTTAAGCAGAATGATTGTAATTTGACGTGTAATTGAAGTATTATCAATAGAAATTCAAGGTTGTAGATATGTTACAGTAATAGTTGAAAAGTTATCTCTATAATTACTTATATATTTTTTAATAATATAATGAAATGAAAAACTTAATACTTAATTGAAAAATATTATAAGGAAGCTTACGATTTATCATAAGCGGTAAATTCTAAACTTTGAAATTATGTCCTATTAATCAAAGGAAAAATAAACGAAGAGGTATGTACCTAACCTCGTCATCTTATAAGATTCAGCAATAGTCGAACGACTTCAACATATAATATATCCAGCATCGAATTACCTAAAGTGTCCGCTGTTCTTTATTAATTTATACAATCAAATCTTTAAGATTTAGTTAAAAAAATATAACACGTCACAACATTAATGAGATACTATGATTAAGCGTTCTATAGAATTTACAAAATGCTTAGTCTTCCACAGCACCATCTCACTAACATAAGGTTTAAAATCTAGTTCGAATGTAACTACATATTTTATCTTCCCATTGATTGGTTAATGTCAGGATACAGTTAGTTATTGATAGTAGTTATCCAAGAAATTTTTTATTTAAAATATGATTCAGTAACTAAATAAATAAAAAAATATAAATATAAATTTAGATACACAAGAAATTTGGTCTTAAATAAAGTAAGTCTAAAAAAATAGATATTAACATAGAATAAAACAAAAAACAGACAAAAATTTAAAAATTCTGTGAGTTAGATGTCATTTTCATGTAACGTTAATGATTTTCATTAAACTGTCTTAAAATTTATTACATAATGAAATACGTATAATTCGTGAATTTACGTATTATAACTAATTAAAGTTTAATAAAACTTATACATATATGTGTATATATTTTATTTTATAAATTATGAATATATGTATAGTTTCATTTCAATTGATCAAATTCAATTTCTTGCCAGTTAAATTTGAATAAGTTCCAAAATTGACAACTAGGTAGCGCTTTGATTATGACAAACTTCGTTTGCACATCCTGTTTCTCTTAACTTTATCTATAACCAATGATAAGAGCAATTTTTTACTAACCAATATCTTATTCTGTGATTTTCTCGAAGAATTTTCCATCGTCTTCTTCAGCCGGTACCTCCATTTTGTTTATTACAACAGCGAAGAGTATCGAAATATCGTTGATACAATATCATATTGTACGTGGAACATTATCAACGTGTAACATTGTAATAAGATAGTGGTCTATAGAAAAAAAAAGATTGCAACATGTCTCATGGAGGTAGAAATGAATGCAGGATTTACGTGGGCAATTTACCACCAGACATAAGAACAAAAGATATTCAAGATCTTTTCTATAAGTTTGGGAAAGTTACGTTTGTGGATTTAAAAAATCGTAGGGGACCACCATTCGCGTTCGTCGAATTTGACGATCCAAGGTAACATCGATAAATTAATTCCAGTTGATTAATTAATCAATTTCTATTTACCATTGTTTATATATTTACTTTTCTAGATATATAATAAATGATAAATTGCCATTATTTCGATAATAATATTAAACATTATTTTTTATTAAAATTTGTGGTCATCTCTTACTATATTTATGTTTGTAAAATTGTGAACATATTTTTCATTATAAAATTTGTGTCCTTCTTGTAGAGATGCTGAAGATGCTGTACATGCCAGAGATGGATATGATTATGACGGTTACCGATTAAGAGTTGAATTTCCAAGAGGTGGTGGTCCAAGTAATAATTTCCGTGGAGGTCGTGGAGCAGGAGATACTGGTAGAGGTGGACGGGGTGAAATGAGTAACTCTCGTGGACGTGGTCCACCAGCTAGACGTTCTCAATATAGAGTTCTTGTTACCGGCTTACCTCCATCCGGAAGTTGGCAAGATTTGAAAGATCACATGCGGGAAGCTGGCGATGTATGCTTTGCAGATGTATATAAAGATGGAACAGGAGTTGTTGAATTTTTGCGCTACGAAGATATGAAATATGCAGTGAAAAAACTTGATGATTCAAGATTTAGGTCTCATGAGGTATGTTGATCTTTTATAAGTATATATATTTAAAATATAAATAATTTTTGTAATGTGAAGTCAATTTATATATCCTTGTTTTTGTTATATCTTTTTTATATTTGAATTGTGTAGGGCGAAGTGGCATATATACGCGTTAAAGAAGATCACAACAGTGGCGACAGAGGACGTAGTGAGGATAGAGAAAGGGGTAGAAGCCGTTCACGAAGCTATAGCCCACGACGCCGTGGTTCTCCTACATATTCACCGTTACGGCGTAATTACTCGCGCTCAAGATCACACTCCAAATCTCGATCGTACGACTAGTGTGTACGTATATGTTTCACATGGTAATATAAGTAAATGTTTATTGATATTTGCTTTACCATGTTTTATTATTGCTGATTTAAAATTTAATTATGAAAACTTCAATCCAATTAGACTTTATAAGGATTATAAAAATATCTTTTCTGACATCACTAGAATATTCTGATATCATATTCGGTATATGAATTGGGCACATTCCTCTTGCATAGAAAACATAACAACCACAAATTTGTGACTTTTATTTTTAATTTTGAAATTGTTGATAATTGAATCAGCAATAATACGATATCCCAAATAATCATAAAGTATAATAAGTTTCAATAGCAAGTTTCATAATAACAATGAAAAGGAATTGTGCTCATAATCGACTATTAATCAACAAATATGCAAAACTACACCAGTTAGATCACTTGTACATTATAAAATACATTCCTTTATATTTTCAAACTGGTTCTCTTCATAATTACTTATAAAGCATGTAACAATTTTAAAGTACTGTTAGTAAAGGGATTGTGTGTGACGATCCACCTTCAATGATCATACATTGATTAATTACATCTGCAACAGAATGTTTGATGCTTCCAAACAATCAGTGTAATTATTCATATTCAATGATCTGCAGTATATTTTTTAATGATACATTAGTTAATGTAGAATCCGGTAGGCATATTACAGTACCAAATCCAGTGTGAGATTCTTTCAATCATTCATAGTTATTTATCGAAATTTATCAAAATAAACATATTACACTAAAATTTATCTAACCTATTAAGATATAATAGGTTTTTTTATTTTTAATCTTTGTATGCTTTATGTTAAACTTATGGCAGAATTATATTACTATCTATGATATAAAAAAATAATATTTCGAAAATTAAAGTAGATAAATAAAAAGTTATCTGGTTTCCAAAACAATTTGAAATAAATAACTACAGTATTAGAACATAATTTTGATAAAAGCATTCTGTATTTTAATCAAAGTATGTATCATTATATATACATATGTTTCTGTCATATTGAATCTTGATAAATGACACCAATTGTATTTCTTTTGACTAGTTTATATATTAGTTTCATAAACTTTATATTCTTTTTATAATTATGCCATTAGTTTAAATTTTATATTTCAACATTTCCGTACTAATATTTTCCATTAAATATCACTGAAGGTACTGAGATATTTTGATCATAAATTATTGCATACAAAACTGTTGCATGTCATAATTACTGTTTATTTGATATATATCCCATAATTTGTTTTCATTCACTATAGAACCAAATTATGTTACCATAAAAGTTTGTGAGTGTTTTTTTTCAGCAAATTTTATATAAGTATATACATACATAATCCACACACACATTAGACATTTTTTTTTAACTGCCTAATTACCACTTATATAAATCTACATTTGCTTAAGAACTATGTATCTTTTTTTTTTAAAAAGATACTGATAAATTTTGCATGATATATGGGTTTTTTTTTAAATATAAAATACATTTTGTAACAATTATATTATTCTTCAACTTATTTCTCTATTATGTTATTAGTAAAACAAAAGAAATATTCGCGAATAAGAATAATTAAAAAATTACAACTAATTGATATTACTTATATTATACTCATTATGGAAATATTATTGGGGTAAAGTTTTACACATTGCCTTTTTAAATATTTCAAATCTTCTTGTTTATTATTATAATCCAGCTAAACTTAATATATAACACTAATTATAATTATGGGTAGGCAAAATGTTAAAACTGTAGAGATTATATTTTCACTGTTTATTTCTATTTAAATTATCATAAAATCTAGATACTTTTATATTTGATGTAGTATGATTAAAATTCTTAATTGTATATAAATATTTTAGTGAGTAAAAATGAATTGTATAAACTGGACAGTGGTGCATGTATGCCTACGGATATCTAATTTAAAAAATACAAAATTTCTGTTGAGATCTGGCATAAAAAGAATATAATCTTTAAATGTCTATAAATATGATGAATTAAGTGATTGTTGATGGTAGATGATGGTAAATTTATTTTACTATATTAGGATTGCGACTTGTAAAATTCCAAGTAAACATTTTCTTAAGTTTTGTTACAAGGATTTCAATTGTCCTGACATACGCACATATAATATCCAGCTAAAGCATTTTATCCACCTGCATTTCTATGTTCTTATTGATGAGGGAGAAAGTGATCTTTGGCTAAGAATACGAAATTGTAATATCTGTAATTCATAGCAACATCTTTAATATTTTATTTAGCCATCTTTACTTTCTCTCATTTCTCTTTTGTTGTTGATTTTCTTTTATATATATATATATATAAATTTGTAGATGTGCATATACATATGCATTAAGCCTATTTAATTTTCAAAAATAACAAATCTAAATCAAATTTACATTATTCTAAAAAATACATTCATAATGGATGAATAATCCAATTGCGCTCAATCTTTTTTTTTTATCAATTTCAATGCTTCTATACTTTGTTAACATTATTTAAAATGTATTTTTAATGACGTACGTAATGCTTAGAATTACACATTTTTAAAAACTGCCTTTTGTCCAATATGTTTAGCATTACAAGTGAAAAATAATTGATTCTTTTGTTAAATATCAAAATATATTGCAAATTAATCCTGTGATCTTACTTTTATTCAGATTTGTAAAATACTTTTCAATTTCTCTTTCATGTACACATCTCTCGTTAATAGTTAAAATTTAACTTTATTACGTATCTATTACGTGAATATTTTCATTAAATTGAGCACTTATTTAGATCACAAGGATTATGTTTGCATTTATAATATTTATGTTTATCTTTAACTATTCTTGTCTAAGAGACTAATGTATTTTTTCTTCTTTTGTATATTGGATTGGATTGTAACACAATGAATGAAAAACTCAAATCGACACGATCTTACTTCTTGGATGGATATAATACACGTTCGTGCTTGACGGTGGGATAAAATGGAATGCGTTTTGGATGGATTTTGTGTGGAGCATAAGTTATAAAAGGATTAAATGAGAATCAAAGTAATGAGACATTAAGGATACTTTCAAGAGGAATTTGAGGATAAGGAAAGGAATGAATTAAGAGCACAGTGCATTTCATTCGAGGATTCACATTTAGCTGGATTTTCATCAGGAAACGTTGGCAAATCCATTACAAGGAGTCAAATCGATCGTCCATATTTTTTTTTTTTCGAATTACATTTAAATTATGTTTGCTTGTGCCTAAAAGTGCTGTTTATGTCGGTGAATGGAAAGGAAAAAAGTAATGTGAACTTTCAGCAGTTTCAACATTCATGTGCTTTAAGTTTTCTTAGATTGAGTGTTATGTTATTCATCAAGTTCTCACTGGCAATATTGCTTTTTTGAATTTATTCATTACTTTGTGAACGGTCAAACTGGTAATGGAATGTCAACTTGTCTTTTTTGATTTAACAAAATTTATTCACAGGATATAATCATATCAAAGTATATCCGTTTTTATCGAGTTGTTAGCTGCCGGGATAATGATATGATTTTCTTTTTTCTTCGTGATAACAAATCACATATTTTGCCAGATATTCTTAAGTATTTCAAAGAAATGAAAAAGATTGCTAACTTTACTTAGATTGAAAAACTCCAAATAGTAGGTGTATATAGGATGTTTTGCATATATATAATAGTATAGGTGTATATGATTGGGATAGTCTTTTTCGCGTTTAGATAGTTGCTCCGATAAATTACTTCGTATGATGTTAATTTCGTTTTGCTTATTTCTATCAGTAATTTTTACTATTCTCATGGTTTAAACTAGCACCTCTTACTAATTGAAATTAAGTGAAACTTTTTTATCTGTGCAACATTATTAATTCCAACGTAATATATATCTTCGAAACTTAGTGTATGAAGAGGATTCGAAAAGACAATTTTTCTTCTTGGACTACATCCATAGATTTAGAGAAACTCAATATCCTGAAATTATATTTTACAACAAACATGGCTCAAGGACAGGACTTGGCATTAGGATTGCTTGCAGGATAAATTAGTATACATGGAGGATTTTTGGAATATTGGATAATTTAAGTGAAAATAATGGACGGATTTTATTGAGAGGATGACTTGGATTAATTATATGAACACTGTCAGTATGGAGGATGGATTTGGATATGAAATGTTATCAATTGAAAGTGTCTCAGTATAGCGGTCTTCGCATCTCATAGGGTTCATGGAAATCTCCTAGATCACATATGATGGAATTTGGATCTACATTTAGTGGAATCTGTGCAAGATTATCAGATTTCGTTGACATATGAGGATAACAAAAGTGATTTCTGTAAGGTATTTAAAGTAATTTCTATTTGAGATACCACTCAAATTCATTAGCGCGCATGCTCTTCTATAATATTCACTATAATTTTTTGTCTTTAATTTTGGAAGTTCATACTGCTCGAAATAGCATTAACTTAGTATCATAGATTATTTGCTTTAGATCGGTACATTTGTTATTTCATTATGTTAATAATTATTTCTATTTATATGCAATCTTATCATCTGATTTTATATAAACACTAATTTTATCGTAATCTTAAATGCTTTAATTAAAAATGCGCTTGTTAACATTTAATTTACGTTGCAAAAATCACAGAATATTTAATGAATGAAAATTGTCGTGTATAAGAGTATAAAAATTTAATGAGTTTAATGAGTATAGAAATAATTTGGCAGTGATATTTCATTTAAATCAGTTTTATTATTAAGTAACAATATCCTATCATCGAAGATTTAAAAATAATCAAATCATTGGTAGACATTCAACTTGACTCTAACGCAAGTATACATACAGCTATTATATAACTGAAGCAAAACTAACATGCATGTATCTTTAGTTATTTGCAACACAAGTTTTCAATTAAAATAAATCTTAGTAAAAGTTCAGTTAGTAAAGTAACAGGTATCTTTCTAGAGCTAATATTTATTCTGAATGTTTCCTCTTGTGTCTTTAATTGAATCAATAGATCAATAATAAATTTAATCTTCTTATATATATATATATATATATATATATTTTTGTATATATATATATACTTTCATATAATATAAAGTAGCTGTCAATTGCATATTGCACTATTTGTTTTAATCATTTTCTATCTATTAATAAAGTCTAATGAACATTCTATAAACCTTAATGATTCATGATTCCTCTTTATGTACACGCAAAATAATATCGTGAACGTTGATTTCCTCAAAAAACTCTATGAACAGTTTTAAGGGATCTGCTTGGTGTCATATTACATATAAGTTGCTGAGATACATATTTAAACAAAAATTATTAATAAGGAACACGACGATCACGATAGTTTTTCCCTTTTTTTTTTTTATTCCGTTATAGTGTTTCTCTAACTTTGAGGGATGGTATTTCAGGATATATAATTGAATGTTAATTATACTCATTTTGTATGCTCTCATTGTAGCAGACTTCATAATTTATTTCATTTCATTTTAATAAGTAACACACACGTATATACAACACAAAATAGCTATCCATTTCCCTTTTTTCTCCAAATTTATGTAAGTATCTGAATTGCCAAACAAAAATTAAGTAAAACGAAATAATTATATTATAAATCTCATAAATGCACTGTAATATACAGATGATCAAAGTATTGTATATATCTTTTCTATGCGTCCACCTTAATTTTATTCAATCATTTTTCGAGTTGTTTTATCAAAAGTACATGTATCTCATTTCTTCGAGTACATTGCTAATGATGAATTTTTTCTATAAATAAATGTTTGAGACTATTGCTTTGGCATTCTAGAATCATGGTATAAGCTTAAGATGACTTGCCTTTTGTAGAAAGTCTAATTGCTAGGTTAAAAGCACGTGGGAAGTTGTGTACTATCACATATATCAATCCCAAGTACATGACAATGGCAACAGTAAGGAAAAGATCAAAAACAGCTGGTTTTACACTGAAATGAAGTCGATAGTGTAAATAAAATTAATAATCCACTTATATGTAAAATATAACAAATGAATGTTTACCTGTATACATTTAGCACTGCTTTAGTAACATCATAAAATATAAACTCTGGATCTTGCTTATCAGGCCCATGTAATGTGACTTTAACATCTCCAAGATATCGTGACATAGATTCTTTCAATGTTGCAATTAATAGGTTATTTTTATCAACTAATAATGGAGCAGCTCTTGGTTGAGATGCCAAGTACGTAAACCACAACGACAGTGATTCTTTTGACACTTCCTGTATAGAAAGGATATTAATTCTTATATATCTATAATTTATAAATACTTATTTTTATATCAGCGAATAAATATATTTTATTTAGTTGAATAAAAAAAGAGCCTACCAAAGAATCTGCAAATATATGGTTAGAGCTTAGATTGTAAATGTGCCTTGCTAATGCCTCTGCAATCACTTGAGTGTGTTTGTACAATATATCGATTTGTCCTTCTTCCATTATATCCAAAATTGTATTTCTGGCAGGATCTTCATGGCTTTTCAATGTGGACAGTGTAGCTGCTGGCAATCTTCTAATACTAAATCTTTCGTGTTCCCAAGCTAATGTTTCTTCTGCAAGATTTATTTTCTTATGTACGCCTTCAACGTGTACCGTATTTGAAGAATCTGCTACAGATTTTAATTGTTTACAAAACATTCCTCCAGATGAATTTTCTTTTGGTGGTTTTGAGACATGCATATAGAGATTATTTGTTGCAGAAAGTGTATCAAGACATATAACATAGGCTGCATCCTGAAATGAATTGCATTTTAGTTATGTACATTGTGAAAGTAATATAAATTATCTATTATGCAGGAAAATATTACTTGAATAACAGATCCTTCAAGTCCATCCAATTGATCTTCCAACCATTTTTTACTACCTTGATAATTTAATTTCCCTGCTCCAGTAGCAATGAAAACAAGATTATAGTGGGGTCTTGATCGTCCTGTGGAGTACAACGCAGAGAACAATCTAGCCAATTCTAATAACATCGCCACTCCGGATGCATTGCTGTCTGCTCCAAAAGATAATTCCTATACATGAGTATAAAATGTAAATCTTATATTAATGGTTTCATAATAATAAAAGAAATGATTTTAAATAAGTTTAAAACAATATAAATAAAAAACCAATCTTACTTACCGGTGCTACACTTGCGCTATCGTAATGTGTAACTATTGCTATAGTAGGTAATTTTTCTTCCGCTCCGGTTCCTGTTAATTTTCCATGTAATATTGCTATTTTAGCATCATTTCTAACCATAGGTTGACCTGATGCAACAACTACTTGATAACCACTAGCAGAAATAGAATTAAATATAGCTTCTGCTGCAGAATGAGATTTTTCATCTATCACAGATCCATCTGTGATATCATCTAAAATCCTTTGAAGATCCGGATGCCAAGTTGCAAAATAAACAGCAATTGGAGTTTCTGTGTCTGACAGCATAGCTTTTTCTAAATCCATAATATGCTATAGATGAAGAAATGCTTTATTAGAGATATTTATATTAAAAACAAATTATGATATAAAGTAATGTGATAAAAATTAGATAATAACTTGTTTCTCATCCAATGTTAACTCATTTAATTTCTCAGGTAAAATGATAACTAAAGCTCCAGCTTTGTTCTTAATGGATTGAAACATGCTAGGTGTAAGATCTAACGCTTTAGTAATAACACAGTGCCTGGAAGTACTCCATCCGATGAGCGATCTTGCTTCCAATGAAATGGAAGCACTTCTGCAACCTAAGAAATAATTACAATTTTTATCAGAAAATATGAACTTCTTCCAAAAAAATGTTTAACTTAAGATAACTAATTGTACATTGATGAATAAAAAAACATCAATGTTTCTCATAATAGAATAGAAAAAAAATGTCTTGAGTAAAGGTTAAAAATGGAATAAATATGGTAATTAGAATGTAAAGTTAAAAATATATAACCAACGATTGTTACCATGCGGAATTCCGTGCAAATCATGTTGATGCATGCGATATACTGGAAATTCGTGTGATGCTGCCACAGGATTAACCGGAGAGATAATAATAAAAATTGGCAAGACTATTAATAAATAATATGGTAAATAGCCTCGACATAATTCAGCAAAACTATCATATTCTTCTAACCACATAATGAAAAGAGTATTTTTCTTGTAAAATTTTATTATAAATTTGACTTTTTTCAGTCAATTTCATTTAACTATCTTTAATAGATTAACTCCATATAAAACCTACAATATCGGTTGAAGAGACGATTCCACACTTCTAAAAACCGTATTCTTTTATTTAATTAAATTTCAAAGTACAATTCAGTGCAGCCAACAGATTATCACACATGTACTAGATAAATTCAAGAATGGTCGCTAGTGTCGTCGAATTTGAAATATTTTGAATACAAATTATCCGTATTGTGCCTATAGAACTCTCGAATTAATTAATTAATTATTTATTTGATATTACGTATATAACATTAAAAGCTCAATAAAAAATCAAAAGACAAATGTTAGACAAAATGATAAAAATATATGCAATAATATAGGTTCAAACCAGGTTGTTATTTTTAATATTATTCTAGATCTGATTCTAATCATGGTATAGAAAGAGCAGCGGTTATGTGTGCTGCACCATCTCACTTAAAAACATAGATTGATTGATTCAGTAATAGACTTTTTTATTAATGACGGATTAATGAAATGTATATTACATTTTTACAGATAATCTATTTAAAGCCACATAAAAAATTTGCATAAACCCATAATATGTTTCTTATAATTCTATTTTATTCTGTTATTTTTTATTCTTTTTGTAATTTACATAATTTTTATACGAACAATTACATTGCTTAAGTTTTTTAATGTTTATTTTCTGTTTTAACATTTAGTTTTTATATATATATTTATGTTTATATGTGCATATATATATTATTTCCTTTCTTAAAATTATCAACATCAATAAAACGATATGTATATGTACTTATTAATTGTTTAAAAGTAAATTTAGTATACAATATCTTCTTCTTTTTTACTTTAAATTTATTCTACTTCAATTTCTGCTAAATGTACGCCATTTTGAACAATAATACCAATCTTCCTTTAGTCTAATTTTTTATTACTAAAGTAAAATATTTTTTTCTTAAAATTGATATATAAAAAACAATATTTTTTAAGTAAATATATTATATATTATACGAAAAAGACATTTAATTACTTTAATTTTTATTGAGAGTTTATTTTGTAAATAATGCAGCAATATTTATACACGCGAGCCAATAAAAAAGTTTCATTTAACTATTCTTTTTGCTATTGGATGTAATTCTTGCATATAACCCACGTATTAGGTGTATTAATTTTCTTATTGGTTTAAGAACAATCCCATAGAATTGGACTAATCTAAAGTTATTTTTTAATCAAAAATGAGTATTCATAAAATTTTAAAAATGAAGAGTCAGTAGAAGAATTATTAACTAAGTGTAAGTATAAGGTTAAACGTATAAGGTGTCATTTTTGATAGAAACTATGTATAGGTTCATTTTAGATTTATTTCGATATATCTTTTAGTAGACCGATGTCGCCCTAAACTTTCAGTTAAATGAAGGAATGTTGCTTCATCGGTTTGTTGATTTAAAATTTCTTTAAAAAGTATCATGGCCTCTAAGACCCATGTGGATAGCACGGTTAACGAACGTCGCTTGCGACCTATTTATGGTAAATATAATTGTATAACATAAAGTAACACTCTATGCCGAACATTAATATATTTTTAAAAAGAAACATTTTTTCTTCAGACCGGTAGAGAGGTTATGTAATAACCGACAAAATGATACACGATCACTCGTTATATTTCAGATTCTTTAGACAATGGAAATAATAAACAAGCACTTCAAGAGGCGGACAAAGTACTTAGAAAACAGCCCGGCAATCAATGCGCTAGAGTACTCAAAGCACTAGCCTTACTTCGTCTTGGCAAGGAAAATGAATGTCATGCTATAATGGATAAAGTTCGTTCTGAAATACCATGCGAAGATTCAACATTACAAGCAATGAGTATTTGTTATAGAGAAGTCAATCAACGTAAGCTAATATTCATTATAGAGTAGTAAATGATGAATTTCCCCACTTATTCACATTTATTTATTTATTTAATAATATTATAAACTCAACAGTACAATATTTATCTTGATTATTATAATTTATTCAATTATGCTAATGTTTACAGCTAATAAAGTTAGTGAAGTATACGAAGCAGCAGCAAAGGCGGATCCGAATAATGAAGAACTTTTGACGCATCTTTTTATGTCTTACGTTCGTTTGGGTGATTATAAAAAACAACAACAAACTGCACTTGCATTGTACAAATTAAAACCAAAAAATCCTTATTATTTTTGGGCCGTTATGAGTATAGTTATGCAGGCCATAAACGCAGAGGAAAAGTTAGCTAATAATGTCATATTGCCTTTAGCAGAACGAATGGTTTGTAAACGTAAAATACTTTTTTCTCATGATTGATTTTATTGATTATTATTATTATTATTATTAATATTATTATTATTACATTCATAATCTTGAAATATTGTGTTGTATAAATAGGTATTAAAGTTTGTTAAGGAAGGAAAAATAGAAGCTGAACAAGAAGTACAGCTTTATTTAATGATATTAGAACTTCAGGGTAAGAGCGAAGCAATGCTGGAAGTTCTGTCTGGACCTTTAGCTTCTCATTTATCACATGTTCCCCAACAAAAAGCAGCACTATTGATGAAATTAGAACAATTTCGTGAAGCTGCGGATACGTATAAACTTCTTATTAAACAGAAGTAAGGATTATTCTATATTTTTGTCATTACTAGATTTGTTATTATTTATAATAAAGTATCAATGAATTTATATAAAATAAGCTAAATATAAAATATAGTTCTATTTCCTTCTCTAATCTAGTTTTAGTTCTTTCTAAAATTGTATAAATATAACTGTTTTTGTAAATAGTACCGACAACTGGCAATACTATCAAGATTATCTTTCTGCGGCTTTAAAATTTCAAGAACCATCCGAATGCTTAGATTTTCTTAATGAAATCATTTCATCATCAGAACGGAAAGTGAGAGGACCATATCTAGCAAGATTTGAATTATTAAAACGTATTGGAGAAAGTGATAATAATAATTTGATGGATTGTGTTGATTTCATGTGCCAATATTTTGAAAATTTTGGTGAGAAGAGCTGTATAGCTGGAGATTTACGATTATATTTACATTTATTAACCCCTGCTGGCAAAGAACAACTACTTAATAAGGTTAATTTATTATTAATATTTATATTCTATTTAACGAGTTAATATGTATTTTATACAATAAATAAATTTAATTTTTTAGATAGCAGAAGATGTTGGAGTTGCACCAGACGGATTTCCAAGTACTGTTGAACAAATGCAACGACATATGCATTTAGAACAATTGCGACGTATGTGCGGCTTTCATCATTCTCCTTTAGCTGATATTAATGACAGAAAATATTTGATAAGGAGATTATGTGATCTTTATGAAAAAGGGTGTGAATTATGTCCTATGTCAGATAGATTACCTACTGACTTTTGTCCAGCTGATTCTTACGTACTTTTGGCTACTTATTTATTGCATCAATTATGGTGTGAAACTAATGAAGCCTCTTTCCTTTATGGGTAATGCAATTATTATTATTAGCAATAGTTCTACCTACACTAATCATAAATAAATGAAACTTCTGTATGTTGGATAATATGCAAACAGTTTTAAAAATATGGTGGATTTATTTTTCAGAGCAATGAGCATACTCGAACGTGGCCTTTTTTCAAGTCCTGCAAATTTTCATATTAAAATATTACTGGTGCGCACATATTTAGAAGCTGGTTTAGTTGGTTCTGCTGATAATGCTTTCGCATTACTCGATATAAAACATATTCAGTTGGATTCATTGGGTTATCTGCATGTACCTCTTCTTGCACCATTTGGACATTTATCATTAGCTTCAACAACACTTGATCATTCAACGAAGTTCTTCATTGCTAATTATAAAGATGTATGTATTATAAAAAATACTATAATTATTATTTTCATTTTTCATTCATTAATAGTCAAATATAGTATAACTTGTTTAGAGAATGTCAATAAAAAGATTACTCATATTTCTTGTTTTTATTGTAGAGTGCAGATTATTTGACATTTGCATATAAATATGGAAGTTTTACAAAAATTCAAGAATTTATGGAATTGAGAGAACATTTGGAAAATTCATTACACTTTGCTGTTACAACCATTGATAAGATGTTATTAGATTTAAGTTGTTGTGACAATTTTAAGTCTCTCTTTTCTGCCCTGTCTAGTATGCATATACAACCACATGAAGACAGAATTAGATGGGATCAATTACGTGATAACCGTGATTTGGAAGTATATATCATATAATTATTTATATTTGTGTTCTATATTGAAAATCTTCGCTTTTCGTCTTTATAAACTCTTTTCGTGCGTATATTAAAATAGGTTGTACGTGAATGGGAACCGTTATCTCCAAATGGCGAAGATCCAAGAAGACGAGAAGACACTTGTATATGCATGTTAAGACTACTTGCAGCACGAAATTTAATTTTACGGATTTTAGCAGCAACTGCTGAACCAAATTCTGCGCTCATCTTTTGTCTTTCAACAGATTTGCAACAATTAGATAATGAACTTATTCCACAAATCCTTCAAAAGTTCAATATAGATGAGAAACAAGACAAGCCATATGGTGTGTTAGTTCCTTTAGATGCAGTAGAAAGGTTACGCGAGGCTCATTATTCTGAACAATTACAAACTATAGCGCGACTTGCTGAATATTTAGGTCAATCTTTTTCTCTATACAATGATTGTATGGAAATGCTCAAAACTACTTTATGTTTACAACCACTATGTCTTCCTGAACATAATGATCCTATATCTTTTAAAAACTTTTTATTAAGAGTATCTACATGCAGTGAAACACTTGCTATAATTAGCGTAATGTGTGTTTCATATGCATCACGATTGCAACCTATAACATCGAGCAGAAAGAATAAAAAAAATGAAGGTCTTGAGGTAAGATGAAATATTGAAATATTTTATGATCAGTTAGTAATTTATCGAAATGGTTGATATTATTGTTAATTAACTTATTGATTTTATTTTATAGAGTTGGAAAGAAATAGTTGCTTTTCTCTCGGAGAAAGTGCGAAACGTAGATGCAGCTTTAAAAAGATTAGAGAAGTATCCGTTTGAAACAGGATTAGATGCGGAAGATGCTATATGTGCCATGATTATAAAACAAGGACAAGCCAGTCTCGCACAAAGTTGCAAATCATTAAGATCACGTTCTCAGTTAACATTAAAACTTTTGAGTAGCTTGAAAAGCTGAAATCATACAAAAAACTTTGTACAAAGATTATTCTATCCATCCATCAATCTACTGATCTTTAACATGATTCATTAAGCGTGTAAATATTTCTTAAATCTAAGCAATTATAATAAAGAACTGAGTTGTTTAAATTGTTTAGATAATTGGTTTTCTATCTATACAAGTTTTTTTTAAATAGAAGATTTTATATATAAAATAAACCATCCTACTAGATACAAAATGATTGGATTTTCATAATAGTCATCAATATATTTTCAATACAATTTTATTTCTTTGATAAGATTGTATTAAAATTAAAGGTAATGCTAATCATTGAAAAAATGAAATATAAATGAAATATATTCTTATATATATAAGAATGAAATATTTCATTTGTAAAAAATAAAGAATTAGGTATTTGTAATTGTTTTATTGATATTGTTTGCTCACTAGAGCGAGTGTTATAAATGACGACACGGGCGCCTCCAATGTTAAATGATAACTACACAAAAATCTGAATTTTTATTTGACTTTTCACATTGACATTCTTGTCGAGTCAAAAAATACAGAAATACATAGAAGCTCGAAAATTCACTTTTTTTAACTAAATTCATCTTAGTTACTAACCTGACCACCAGTGGGCGATAACAAGTATCTAATCCAACAATCCTTACTTGATAGCATTTCCTATAATCCTTCTTTGATAGTTGTACCGTCATTACGTTAAATACTTACTATCGCCTACTGGTGGTCAGGTTAGTAACTAAGACGAATCTGGTTAGAAACAAGTGGATTTGTGAGCTTCTGTGTATTTCTGTATTCTTTGGTCAAGTGATAAAAACAAGGTTTTTACAGATTATTATAATGTCTGAAGAACAAGAACAGACTTTAGAAGCTCTGAGAAAATTATCAAAAAACGATAAATATACTATTCTACTTCCTACATACAATGAAGTTGAAAATTTACCAATTATAGTATGGCTAATAATAAAATATATGAACGAGAGGTAACTACACAGAAGAGCTAACCTTCTCAGTGCGTGACATGTATCAACTTATTACAGTTTCATTGAATAATATAAATAATTACGTGTTTATGACTTTTTATAATTTCAGTAAGTTTACATATGAAATTATTATAATTGACGATGGTTCACCCGATGGTACTTTAGATTTAGCAAAAAAGTTACAAAAATTATATGGGGATGATAAAATTATTTTGAAACCAAGAGAGAAAAAACTTGGATTAGGAACGGCATATATGCATGGAATCAAATATGCCACAGGAAACTTTATTATTTTAATGGATGCAGATCTGTCTCATCATGTAAATATCATGTACTTTATAATGATTTACGAATATGACATTTATATCTTTTCTTTTACATATTTCTTTTCGTTTAGAAAATAAATAACTCATCAATGTTTTTTATTTAAGCCCAAGTATATTCCAAAAATGATAGAACTTCAAAAATATCAAAATTTGGATATCGTTAGCGGAACTAGATATGCTGGTGGTGGTGGTGTTCACGGTTGGGATTTTAAAAGAAAATTGATAAGCAGAGGTGCTAATTTTCTAACTCAATTTTTACTGAGACCTGGTGCGAGTGATCTTACAGGGAGCTTTAGGTAATATTTAATTTTTAAAATAATTTCTTTAGATATATAATATGTGCTGATTTTTTTCCTCTTTCTTTCTCTCATTGTAGGCTATATAAAAAAGATGTATTGGAACAACTCATCAAATCGTGTGTATCTAAAGGATACGTATTTCAAATGGAGATGATAATAAGAGCACGACAATTTAATTATACCATAGGTGAAGTTCCAATTGCATTTATTGATCGAGTGTATGGTGAATCTAAATTGGGTGGTTCTGAAATTGTTCAATTTGTAAAAGGTCTTTTATATTTATTTGCTACCACATAGTGAACTTTTCAATTCAAATGAAAAAATATATTGACATTCCTTTGAATTTTATATATTAAGATAATAGGATAATAAAATATATGTATATTAAAATAATTGTAAGAGATATAATATTTATATAAATAATTTATGTACAAATAAAGTATTGTCTGTTTTTATTTTAAATTATGATACTTTTAAATATCTTTATGCGCTGTCTCTTTGATAATATAAAATCAAATAATTTAAGTAAAGCAAATATTTTCCACGACGTATGTCATTTAGATATAATCACTTAATTCAGTTGAAAGTATCAATTAACGTTGACGAGTTATATCAATTAATATATCCGTTAATCTTACAAACAAATAAGCTTAAGTGGTCTGTGTGTGCTAATATCAGTACTTCGAAGCACGTGCGTACTCACGTGGCCGTGAATGATAAAAGCAGAACACGTATAACGATTCGCGCGGTTTTATCCACCCTCGCCGCACCCTGTGACGTCACGCAGCCTCCGTTTATTGATCCATTACGATATTAACGTCTATATTTTGACTCGAGTATAAAGGAGGAAGATACCGCGAATGCAGATTCTTCTTAATGATCAAATACTTAAAATCTTATAGAAAATTAAAAAGGCATCGATATCTCTTCATCATTTTTTCATAACAATGAGGTGTACTTAAATGAACTTCATCAGAATTTCATACCACTTTAACTCTTTTACAATTTCACAAAGTGCTAAAACACTTGGAGCATTTTAAAGAAGAATGATTTCATTATAAATGATATCAAAAAATACAAAAAAAAATAGGAACTAATATTTTTTAATATTCATCTGATCGTAATGTTAAAATAATTTCATTTATAAAAATAAAACAATATACCACGATCTTGTAATAACGGATATTACGTGTACCTGTTCGAAATGAAACAAATTGATGAATTTGAATTTTGTTTTTCGAATATTATATTATTTAAAAAAAAGGAACGACTGGTAAAATATATATTCGAATTAAATGAAATTTTGATGTTCGTAGCGGAGCAATATGAGGAGAACACAGGGCAAGACAGTCAGTTCTGTCGCAAGCTTCGCCGCGGCTAGACGTGGTAGTTGATCCGCCAACGCGCCGGGGTGAAACTTGCAGGCTCCCTTTTATCGAGCTTTCAAATGGCTGTGCCTTTTAAATTTTGATCTATCTTTTTCTCTCCTTTTTTTTTTCATTATTTTCTAATTTACTTGGGTATCTTCCTAATAGTCGTAGCTGTCGTACATTATTTCGCGTAAAAAAATAGATTTCATCGAGCATGCCGAGGAAGATAGGATTCAACGTCGTTTACGCCACGAGTAAGCAGACAATTTATGTTTTTTTACTTCAAAAAGATCTATTTTTTATTATAACCTAATAATAATTAATGTAAAAAAAGTATATATTGTTAATCGGTAGTCAATTATTCGTATATTTATCCAAATTCATAGATAATCCGCAAAGACATAGGGTTTACACGATTGCATGCATTCAGGCGCATTGATTTTCTTTTAGATTGCGTTATTTGAATTGTATTAATTTACATCTCTTTTAATTGTTACAAACAAAATGCAATTTTATGTATACGGTAAAAAATAATTATTATTGTGTTCGACATGTGTTCAAAAGAATTGAGAAGATTATTATTCAATCATTGAATTTCGATTCAACCCATTCTGTGTGTTACTCATTAAAAGACCGATATAATTCTTGTATCATTGCATCGCGTGACACCAGTTGACATTTATCCTTTAATTCGTCGGAAGGATATAATTTGACGTGCAACGCTAACGAACGCACGAGGAATAGTTATTTCCATAAAGTTAATGAAAAGATCAATGTGTACTATCGTCGGGTTCCGACCAACTCTTGAAATATATAAATAACGTCTCACATGCTGCACGTGTACAGGCTTTATATATGAACAGAAATTATATAAGAACTTTTTAATACAACCGTTTGAAAAGTTATTTTTTCTTTTCTTCTTTGCTCCTTCGTACAGGTGAAGAGGATAGACATTCTTCTTTAGAACTTAATATACATGGACCGACGGTACGAGGCTGGCAAAGTGCAAGAAAGTGTGTTTATCCTCAGGAACTTATACTACGTCTTCATGGACCTACAAAACTTACCAGGATACAAGTTCTCGCACATCAGTACCTTATACGTAAATTAAATATTCTTTTTACTTTTTTATTTCCTCTTATTAAATTATTAAAGACAAAATATGTATTGTATATACATATATATATACGGAATGTTCCAGTTTTTTCCGCAAAACTTTATCAGCATATTCTATAATTAAAAATGGAGAATGAACAGTCTATAAATATTTATATATTTTTTTTTTTATTACTATTAATTGTCTTCTTTGGAAATAAATATATTGAGGTACATTTTTGTATTCTATTCTTTTTAAATTCATAAATGAAAAGGTCTCTTTCGTATTTAAAAAAAAAACATTATTATTGTTCGGCTCTACCTCGCAACAGAAAAGCAATTTGAGTAGAGTGAAAATTGTATTAATGCCGTGCCTAATCTAACTTCCCGAGGCTATATTCTGTCATTCTCTCTTCTTCCTCCTTTTCTTGTTATACAACCGGAAATGGAAATGGTACGTCGGAAAAAGGGATTTCGTAGAGCATTAGATTAGTCGTTAAAACATCAATGTCAGCCTATACATTTTTAAAGGCTTCGTTTAATAAAAGTTATTCGATTTTCAAACGATAATTCTAACCAATGTCACGATTAATTTATTTATAAGAATACGTAATTGAATAAGTAATAATCGAAATATATATAGATAGATATGCATAAAAATATATATAAATGGGTGTATAATTAAAGCGGAAAAATTGGAAATTTGGACAACGAAAGAAGAAAACGTTTCTGTTACTTCGGAATTCAATTATTTGGGGTATATTACCTTATCGGACAATGCCTCGACTCTTTATAAAAGTAGGGAGCTCAAAAGCGTTGCACTTCCGGAAACAGAAGCGGTATCGCTCAAGCTTAGACTTCACAAACCGCACAGAAATGCGCACAATATCCACGATCAGGTATATATTTGAATTTAATAGAAAAACATTGATTTTACGAATATCTAATATTTGATTAAACTAATTATTCGTACATAGTCAAAAATGTAACTTTAGAATGTTCGTTCAGGTTGGTCTAATCGCAATCAACATTCTCGGAGAACCTTATGGTCAAGAATTAAGTGGTCAAGGAGATGCACCATACAACCCCCATTACACGTCTCCTTACGACGATTTAGCATTTGAGATGTACGTTGATCGTGAAGTAGCAAAAATAATTAGACAGATGGAAGCAAAAAAGTTACAAGCCGTGGAAGGTGAAATTTTCTGTTTAATATTTGACTGATAATCTTCGTAGTATCTCTTATTTACGAATTTTCTTCTTTCAGAAGAAAGATTCGAATACGCATCGAAGCTCAAAGTGGCAATGGAAAATTTAAGGAAAGCTGGAGAACGTCTTGGAAAATACGAATTGGAAAAAAAATATGCGATAGCCCTGGAAGATTATGACAAAGCAAAAGCGAAGAAAGCGCAGGCGCAACAATATAGGCAACAAGTTTATCAAAGTTTGGAAGTCGAGGATTTGCTTGAAATTCATGGGGTGAGCTTGCTTTGTATAATCAATAAGACGTAATTGATCGACAAAAAATAAAAAAATAAAATAAAAGTATCCGAGTGAAATGGAAGAAGCGATTATTTTTCTTCTTTCATTATTTACTACAGCCGTTAGAAAAAAATAATTTATCGTCATTGGAAGGAAAAGAACCGATTACCGTAGATACTTGTACTTCGAATGTAACCGCTGTTGCGGAAGATATCACGTCTCCTCCAAGATTAGTTGTTCCACCTAATCGTGATGGAGCTTTGTCACCTACAGGTCCAGCTCATCAACCACCTGTATCACCGTTACATCAAAAACCAAGTAGTCCCGGTATAACATAGTTCTTTCATACTACCAATAAAAAAACTAATTTAATTTAATTAAATTAAAATAGTCTAATTAAGTTAAAAAAAAAACTAATCTAATTCGTTATTTAATACATATATGTGTTTAAACACGTAAATTAATATTTATTTTAATTTTACAGAAGTTACCGATAATCCTACAAATGGCATACTCGAAAGGCAGAATAATTGTAATAAGGGATCATTAAGAAGAAAAACTAAATCTGCAGGACCTGCACTCCGTTCCAGCTATGAAGCTTACGAGGAAAGAACTATACCTGCTTTGAGGCAGTAAGTAAATCTAAATGTCTGTGTTAGCTTTATAAAACAATACATTTTTAATATTTTTCAAGTGTATTAATTATGTAACGTGTTCTAGTTCGCATACGAATGAATTCACACGGGAATGCCATATGGACAACACAGAAACAAAAGCTGCATCTAAACTTAACGATAGGGAAAAAAAGCAGGCTGCATTACCTATTGCTGTGTTTGGAATGGAAATGGTAATCAATATTCTTATTAATCTTTAGATGTACAATTATAAACCAAAAAAATATTTAAGTTGATGCGCTTCAGCTACAAATTTCTTCAAATTAAAGAAGTAAATTAAAAGTTCTTGCAAATGACGCTTATTCTCGGCTAAAAATTCGATATTTTCGTACGAAAAAAATATATGATGCTGATACAAAATTGCTAAATATTTCAATTTTATGTTGTTGACAAATGTTCAACCTTACGATATAACGATATAATCATAGTTTGCTGGTGGTGCGGTCTTTTACCAAATGGCGGAAACTTAAATGTACTCCTAATATTAAATGATATGTATATTTAGGTGGAAAAATTTTATTCGAAACAATTTACTGATAAAGAAGAAGGATTAATGCAGTTAAAAGAAGAATTAAAGACGTTCGATCCAGAAGTATCAAAACATTCTGCAAATAAAACTGCTAGGGCTGCTATTTTGTTATTACATAGAGCTTTAAGAGACAAAGTCTTCAGTGTTTATAGCTTAGCTGCGCAATTAATTAGAATCTTTTTTGCTGAATTTGCAGCAGACAGGTAAAAGTAATATAAATGTATCATCCGCTTTAACAAAAAACACGAATATTAAAAATAATATTTTATCAGGGTATCATCGACTGAAATTGCAAGAAGCGTAGAACGTTTACTTCCAGAACTTCTGACAAAGTCAGGAGACACTACTCCAAGAATTCATAATATGGCAGTGCACACAATTCTTAGTATGGCAGATTGTAAATGTGTCCGAGAATTGCACATAATTCCAGTTCATTTAACAAGACCAGTTAGTAGTAGTACGCATCAAAGACTGGCATTGAGCAGGCTAGAAATGGTTGAACAATTAATATTAAATCATGGAATATCAACTGATAAACAAAGGTGAACCATTATATTTTATTTTCACTTTATATTTTTCTGTTATATCAAATCAGTAATAGAGGAATATTGGACCTCTGTAATGAATAATAATTATTTCAAATATTTATTTGATCTATAGAGGTCCTTCCTCAAAATGAATCTTAATCATTAAAATGCAATTACTCTGATAAGATATTGCAATTGTTGCAGTGGTTTAACATGCCGAACATTGTCTGAACTGGGTTCTTCAGGATTGCACCATCCGGCAGAAGCAGTACGAAAAGTTTCAGAAAGAATTTTAGTTTTAGTATATAAAGTTAATCCTAGGTTGGTTCGTAAGCAATTACCTCCCGATGATGATATTACTAGAAGAAACTTGCTCTATCGTCAACTTTTTCACGAGTTCGATTTGATAGATCTTCAGGTATACGATTTTATAATAAAAAAAAAGAAAATATGTGCATACAATTTTTGTTTTAATTAATTATAGAGAAAAAAAGAAGCTGAAAGTGGGCATAAGGCTACGACGACTCCAACGCGCACAAAATCAACAGAAAATAATGTAACAGAATTAACAAAATCTCCACAAAGGACAAGTCCAGTTGTTAGTACAGGTAGTTCTACGAGTATTACGTCCCCGTCCGAAAATAGTACTGATCATAAGGGAGACAAGTAAGTATTTTCTTTTTCAAAAATATTTATAATATATATATGCAAATATGTAAATAGAAATGTATCCATAGAAATAATTTTTATCTATTATTCTAGAATGTGCATATTTTGTTTATCTAAAGGACAAGTATATTCTGAAGAAGGTTTAAATATACATTACTGGAGAAGTTGTCCAATGTTAACAAGATGCGAAGCATGTAAACAAGTTGTTGAAATTTCTTATTTGAATTCACATTTACTAAGTAATTACCTATTCATTGAAAAATTGTATACGATAAAAGAAAATTGAGGCAATCTGATATTAATATATTTCTATTTTCACAGATGAATGCGATATGAGGCGTAATTACAGAAAATGCGATACTTGTAAGCAAGCTGTACATGAAGGTTCTTTTGATGAACATAGGAAAGAAAAGACATGTTCAAGTATGACTAAAATAAGTCAAAAAAAAAAGAAAGAAAAAAAGTTATAAAATTAAAATAATAAATTTTTATTTTAGAACCTATTGAAGGGTATGAGCACTGTCCGCTTTGTCATGAATTGGTTAATCAAAATAAGTGGAGAGAACACTTAATGGGAGATCAACCATGTAAAAATAATACACGAAATAAAATCGGAAAATCTTGTAAGTTAGATATACAAAATTATTTTCATATCTATTAGTAAGATTGATTCTTAATATTATTCTGTTTTATAGGTTCCAGATCACCATCTAATACACAAAATCTTGGTGGTAAATTAACTTCACCAACTGGAAGAGATTACTAGCATTAGCCATCCAATTAAAATCTGTTCTAGTCCAACAAATTGTAGAAAATCTTTTATAATTTTCTTTATTTTTTGTAGTTTATATATTTGTTATAACTTGTCCAACGTTTTTCATATTTATACTTATATTTAAATCGTTTTCTAGCTAAACCCGTCCTTCTCATAAGTAGAAACATTTAGTTAAGAAGATTGTTAACTGAAAATGACATAATCTTCAATCTTTAAAAATTAAAATTCTATTATGGAATAAAATAGAAAACGAATAAGGTGATATTTAATATAACAATTCGAGGGTAAAAATTAGTCAATCATAGACAAGTATACATTTTTTGCAAGTATAAGATAAATACTCCAGATGGTTAAATTTATCTAACAGTATAATATCAATCGTTATGGCATTAGCCACCTCAGAATTCATGATTCCTCTGTATCCGGCCAATATTTATAACATGTTTGTACAATATCCTTTAATAACAAAATCTTACTAGGTCCATGACCAAACAATAATAATAATAGTTCAAAAATATTAATTCTCAGAAGAGTATTTCTTGCTCAAATATCATAAAATAAGATATGTAATTTCATAAAAGTAATTATTTCTCAAAAAATAGATAGTAAATACATTTCCCATTATTATAGACGTTTTAATTTTACCTTTCAAAGTATTTTATTTCTTTTCTTATGAATCTACATTATCTGATATTCCTTTACCTGCTTATTTCAATTTTTGAATAATGCAGAATTTGTATAAAGTTTGTAGTAAAGTATATATACGTATTTTATTTGTATATAACAAATATTATATATGTATATATGGTAAAGAACGAACATTCATTGCTCTAAGGAACATTAAATTGGTATAAGATTATTACTAGCATTGACACCAGTAATAATAATTATTTCAATCATTTATAAAGAATCACCATTTTCGTCAATTTTTTCTTCAATAATAGTCTCTTCATTTGGCAGCTCTTCATTATTAATTTCATCTGTTAACAAATTGCGGTTCTCTTTGAATTTATTTTTTTCTGAAAAATATGTATCAAACCATAGTTACTTATACAATTAAATTCATATATCTTGTATATATCTTTTATAAAAAATTCAGATTACATACCAAACATTGAACAGTCAGCTCCTAGTAAACGTAAGTTATGAATCGCATCATGAATAGGCACATAAGCTCTAAGAGACATAGTACCCCTCCAACCTACCAACTGTAATTTTAATGGATAAAGCTTATCAGCCTTTTCTTCTTCGTATATAAGTATACAACTGCCAGTTGCTAAAAATGCAGATTATTTAATCGATATAAGATTTAATTTATTAATTTTATTATTATTTAATTTTTATAATAATACATAATATATATTAAATAAATCATACCAAAATCTTTAAGAAGTTCTTGAGTCTCTGAGGTCAATTTGATAATTTCAGGTGGCGTACGGGGTTCATTATTTTGCAGGAGCATAATTAGGTCTTCTTTCATTATTTTAAGTTTTCTGCTCTTGCCAATATAGTGAAAAACGCTTTGCATTCCTTCCTGTGCAAGTCTAAAGGCACATTTCATGTTTTTGTTGTCACAGCGTACAAATGTTTTAACACCTGTATTAATCATTTTGACTTTATTTTCGTTCGATATGACAATGTCACGGATTGCTGGTGATGTGAAGTAGATGTTTTTCTTTTTCCCTTCATTGCATCTGACTAATAAACATCGTGGATCCAAATCATCAGATATGTCATAAAATTCTCTAATGAATTTAGGGAAAAGATCAACATTTTGTATACTGAACATTTTTTAGAATTAAATATATGAAATCTTACTTAATGGATAACCAAACGTCTTCTTTATCATCTTTAAAGAAAACAAACGGATCTTCTCTATATCCAATAAATCTTTTACGTTTCCTTTGGGGTTCTTGCAATTTCTTTTCATCTTCCAATGCTCTTTTTTTGTCACTTGAATTATTTTCTCTTTCCTCATGTTCTGCCTCTTCTTCAAGACTCAGTTCACCTTTTTTATTATCGGTGTTTGTATTTTCTAGATTTTGATTAGATACGCTTGATTCATTTTCCCATGGCAAAGGTTTAACTTTTTCAAGTACAGCAACAAAAAATCCTCCTGTATCTTGGTGATGTGGTAATATTCTCATGCTATGTCATTTCGAAATATAAATTATATTACTTGAACTATAAATTGCTTAAAGAAAATAAACAAATTCTATAATTTTAATTTACCAACGTTCTAGATGAAACTTCGAGCAATCTTCTTTATTTGGTGGAAACATTTTTGGTCGAATTTGTGTTTGCCACTGCTGAGGTACATCCTCCCATGAATTATAATATTGTAAATTTTTAGAAGCTGGCAACCAATGTGTTACACCTAAAATATTTTATTATTACAACTTTTTTCAGATTATACATAAATATGTATACGATTTTGAAAATTCAAAATACTTACCAGGATCACATATTAATCCTGGTACTAAATCTCTACAATCCACTATTTGAACAGAGTCCTGTGTTTCAGCAAGAACTCTGTGAAGAACTGCTTCATTCTCAACAGGATTTAATGAACATGTAGAATACACCATTCTACCTCCAACTGCTAATAATTCTAATCCTCTCCTTGCTATTCTGTATTGAATACTATAAAACAGCCGATATGAATTAAGAATGATAAATTTGATGATTATATTAACATAATTATGATATTTACCCATGAAGATTATCACCATTTGCAGCATTCCACTTACACCAAATATCTGGATTCTTTCTCATTGTACCATCACCGCTACATGGTACATCGGCAAGTATTCTATCAAATCTATTTATAAAATAATGTTTGTATTAATACATGAATAATATAAAAATATATGAATACAAAATTTATACTAACTTCAAAATGTCTTTTGTACCATCAGTCCGAGTTACATTAAAATTTGGCATGATTGATGAATCATGATTGGTGATAAGAATATTAGGGCTATTTAACCTTTTAGCTTGATGTACAAGCATATAACAACGATTATTATCAAGATCATTTGCTATTACAAAACCTTCTGTGAATAAATAAATTAATTAGTATGCAAATTGTATTTTTTTCACATAAATATAAATATATTAGATATACAAAATTTATACCTGGAGGTATATTACCCTCATCTGCATGTATCATTTCTATCAACTGTGCTGTTTTTGATCCTGGTGCAGCACACATGTCTAGTATCTACAAAAAAATAATATATTTAACGAACATAATGATTAAGGAAATAATCCATAACATATGTATTTACCTTGTGCCAAGGTTTTACATCCAAGACTAAAGGTGGTACCATACTAACTACTTCTTGTCTACTAATACTACCACTATTTGTTTCTGCAATTAAAAAATTATGTAATCTAAAGTACGCTTCAGATCTACGTATAATTTTTCTTGTTAATTGTAATTGCCATGCTAATTCTTCTGGATAAAATGGTAAGCAATGTAATATTGGTTTTTTCTTATCAGTATCTTCTTGATCATCTTCTAAATTAGTATTTAAAATTTCTTTAAAAAAGTCACTCTTTATAATATCTAGTAAAACTTTTGCTTCGGATTTAGAACCAGTAATACGAAATGCTACTGGTAGAGTCGTCCTCATTGTGGAAAGAAATTCATCCCATTTCTCTTCAGGAACAATATTTTGTGTTTTATAATAATTTTCAAAATCCTTATTCTCTCTTACTATATCAGCATAAGTTCTGTGTGGTATATTATCCCATTCATTTTTTTTCTAGATAAATTTTAAGTATAAATTAGGAAAACATATGTATTAAGAAATAATACAACATAAAAAAATAACATATCATTGAATTAGAAAAGATAACCCTTAATCGTTGCCGGTATATATAATAACTTAATAAATTCTTACTTGTTGTTTTTCACGGCGCTTTTCAGCAAAATTCTTTTTTGGTTTATGTTTTCGTCCTTTACCCATTATTATTAAATAACGAATGTATTTAAGAATTCTTTTTAAAATAAACACGTGCCACACTGTACCACCAACAAACCACTTTTTTCTTCAAATTAACAACAATAGATGGCGCCATTATATACATTAAAAAAATCCGCGAAATTAAAAATATTTCAAAACAAAAAGACTTGTAATAGAGAGAATGGAATGAATGTTTGTTTGTAAATATATTGATTTTAATATCATAGAAAACAAATATATTACTCGAATCATTTCTGGGATCATTCTAATAAGTGACGCAGAAATAAAAGTATTTTCGTAAATTTTTTTCAGTGAAAACAACGAATTATGGATTAGACTTTTTGTGTACCTTATTATTATATTTTTAGCTAATAGAAAAGAAATTTATCATTTTAAAATTAACTATTTAGTCAAGTGTATATATATAAATTAGATATATTTTTTATGACATATAATAAATTTTTATTAAAACAATGTACACACACACACACACACACACACACAATTTTAATCTAATAATATCTTACTACGTATTATTAACAGCTTATTTTATTCAGATAAATATATTCAATTCATTTTTCACAGGTGTACGTTTAATAAACATATGCTTTTAAAATTTCGTATTATCGTATTCTAGATCATTTTGTTCTAGAATTATATTTACAAAATTTTAATAAAACTCTTATATTATTACAAAACAAGGCGTTGATAAGATAAACCCTCAGATTCTGGCGATTCCATTCTATCTCTTAAATGTTCCAATGTGTTTGCCAAATGTTTTTGAATTTGTTCCGTTTCTTCACTAACTTCCAAATTGGGAAGTTCTTCCCTAATTTTTGCAATAACTTGATTTAAGATTTGTACCGTAACCTGTAGTAAATAATTATATTTTATATATTATTATATAACAATTTTCATGAGATTAATAACCATCTTACCGCAGTATTTCCTTTTTCATAAAAATAAATATAGTGATTCAACAATTCTACATATAACTGTACTTGTACAGACGTATCCATACATTGACTTGCTATCCTTATTCCTTTTTTTAAGCAATCCAACACTTTATTCGCGTCGTGCATCTAAAATTATAACAATTTTAATGATATGAAACATAAAATTGCTATTATAATACATGTTTAAATGTAGATATATTTACTTCCTTTCCATCTGTAGCTAAAGATTTTCCAGACCAAAATATGTGTGAACATGTTGCAACACCTCTACACTGATCTGGTTTTCGTAATAATTTACTAGCATATAAAGCGCATTGGTTTCTCACTGGTTCTGCATTTTCTTCACTAAAGCAACTCATCTGTTCAAACGTAGCAATAATCAATGTGATTGCTGCAAGTTGAGCTTTTGAGTCACTAATTTCATCTTCGTATATTAAAAATGCTTGACTTATAAACTCATAAGCAACTATTTCAAAATTATTATAACGAATTTCTCCTATAGCAATAGCGCCCTGCAGGAATAACCTTAGTGGTAATTCTGCCAATTCAGCTTTCAATAATGCAGTTATAGTTGTATGACAAAATTGAAAAATTTTTTGACATTTTTTCTGCCACATATCATCCTGAAAATTATAAATTTAATTGAATTATATATATCTTCTTTTTTTATTTCAAAAAGATCTACGCACTTGATCTTTTAATGCTTTATATGTAAAAGCTAACTGATACGCCTGAAAGATAATAGGTGGAAGTGTGTATTTTATCCTTCGATTGCCACCGGCACTAAAATGTTTCCTTGCAGCACTCAATATCATATATTGTTGATCAGCAGTATCAGATTTAAAATGATGAATTAATCGACCAAGAAGTCCTTGTTCTTCTGCAAAATCTTCAGGATCTTCTTCTATGCTAGGCTGATCAGATTGATCTTGAACCAATGGTGCGACCATTGACAAAACAGTATCCACTTGTTCTTGAGTTGGTATCAATGTTTCATTTTCTAATATATTGGTTATTATATAAATAGCTAATAATTTTCTACCCTCGTAATCAAAATATTCTAATAATGGTGCATAATGTTCCAATTTCAGGACGGTTAAAATATTCTTGTAATTATCTACAGGAATTTTCATTAATCTAACTAATTCTCTTGACACAGCACTATTGTACTCCAACCTAAATAAAAATGAAGTTTTAGTGTATCTATCTTTCCTGTAATTAACGAAAAAAATTAATTGTATTTGCTTACGTTATAATCATACGTACTTATCTACATTTTGTTTTTGAAATATTTGTACAGTAGTCAACAAAACTTTGTCAACATAATCTACCCTATCTGGATAGCACTTATGAGCTAAATTAATGAGAGCTACTTGAAGGGAAACTATATCTTCAGCTGGCATATCTTGTCTCGTCTAAAATAATAAAATATTATTTAAATTAACAAATATATTAATAAGTATTTTTTAATAACATGTCCTTTCAATTATTCTCAGACTTAAACTAAATGAGTAAGGAAGATGTGTAGTATACATGTTATATATAATCATGTAAATATCAATAGTTACATAAGATCGATCATCATTGAGTAATTGTGAACTATAAAAATGACAAAATCGATTTCTATTTGTTAATTATTTGTACCTGAATGATAGTTGCTATTTGATCACTAAATACATCAAAAAGTTTAACATCTTGTGGGATGCCTGGAACTTGATTAGGACTTCCTGGTCCTCCCACACCATCCGATCTCTGACTATATGCTGCAAGTCTATCTATTAAAGAAATAATTATATTTTTCACATTTACTCCATTCTGTAGCTCTGCACAAGATTTTAGAAATGCGTTTAGTGTCTGTAGATGGAATTCTTCAGGAAAAACCTATGTGCATAATTTATAATAAGCAATTATATTATTTATATGTTAAGGAAATACTTAATCACACTTTATTTATAATATCATACTTGTATAATACATTCCATGAGATATTCTTGAGCAATTGCATCCCTACAACTGACTACTTGTTCTAAAATACCTGGTAATACTAACTAAAAAAAAATATTTAATAGAGAAATAGTATTTATCAAATATATTTAATATAATTTAAATTTAAAACAACTTACCTTCTTATATTTATCTAATGTAACAGATTCTAATTGACTTAATCGTACAAGATTTGTTCCAACTAATATTCGTAATTCTTCTCTTTCTCTTTCTCGTCTCTCTCTATCTCTACTGTGACCTTGATGTTGCATACGTACCCACAATTTATTCATTTCTGCAAAATTCATAAGAACAAAATCTATGCTGTCACGAACCTGCAAATAAACAACTCTCATTATAAATGTTTCAATTGAAATTGTTTCTTTTAATTTGTTTCCTTACAGTTCCATCTTCATCATCGCTTTCTGCAACATCCGGTAATATATTACGTATACATTGCAATAAATAATTTCTCAAAAAAAGACCTCTTAAAGGATGTTGTACACCTCTACACATTTCTACTAAGTCTCGAAGGAGATTTCTTTTTAGGCCTGGAGTTGTTTTAATATACACCAATCCAACTGTGATAAGCAAATATCTATAATATTAATAGAATTTTTATTAATTTAATAATCTAATCTAAGAGAGAGTAGAATATAGTGTAATGAAAAATATCAACGTACAATCTTGGTACTATATTACCCACATATTGCACTAACTCATATAAATCTGTAACTTTCCTTCCTTTCTGAAATTCGTCTAATAAATATAATTCTAATTGTCTCAGCTCATCTGTAATTGCCATATCTGATTTTCATATTATAGGAAAACTTTGTTAAAACTATGTTTTATATTTTAGGACACTAATTTCATCTTCACATATTAACAATACTTGACTTTTAAATTCATAAGCAATTATTTTTATATTATTATAACAAATTTTTTTCTATATAGCAATATTTAAAAATAATATTTTATAAAGAACTTATGCGTTAGAATAAGAATAAATAATTTTTACTAAGATAAGGATACAAAGTTCATAGTAGCTTTTTGGACTTAAAAGTGAAGTCCTAAGTTCTCCTAACATTGTGGAAGCGTGTTTTAATGCATCCATGAGCTTCATTTTATCCAAACAGTGTTTCATTTGAAAAGCTTGAACTTTGACCACGCCTATTGCATCTTCAAGGAGTTTTTCTTGCTCTTCCACTCCGGTCATAGCAGATGTCATAGGCTGTGAAAAAAATAAAGATACCTACCAGGAACACCAGGTAGTACCATACCAGGTAAGCCATTCAAATCGAGCATGCACCATTTAATATGCTTAAGCATCTGAGAAGTCATTAAGATAATTGAATTTATTAAATAAAAGATATTTAACCTAACAAATTTTGTGTTGATTAATCAACAATTTATTATTTCTTTAAAATATGAACAAATACTAAATAGCAAAGATGAGACGAATAAATAAAATAACTTAAGCAATATATAAAATACATTTAGATTAATATTATTTTTTTTAAAAGTTACTATATTACAATAGAAATAATATTTAATTTTGAAAATATTAATTGTATAATAAATTAAATTTTTAAAAGAAATAGTTTTTATTACTTTATATGAAGATATATTTCAAGGTATATAATTAAACATTTTTACATAGATTAACCTTGTCATGCAGTAAATTTGTTGTTTAAAGATAGTCATATGTATCTTTACTTACAATTAGATCATAGGGTTAATAAAGCTTTCAAGCAAAATATATAATACACTGTTTAAAGTGATGAAGTATTTACCATTTTTTAGGCAAAAATAAATAACTACTACACTTTGAAAACACCCTCTCGATAAGGAAGATATATTTGATTTCACTATAGTTCTTTAAACGGAGCGTCGTCAAGCCGGTAGGTACATTGTACAACTGATTATGTATATACTTGAATAAATATATATATGGACATTAATTCTTCATGGTGGGGAGTTTCCTTTCTAACATAAGCAACTGAGTTTTTCTTTCCATCAGTAATATTTAGCCTTGAATGCTTGAGAATTCTTGATTATTATGAAAAGTTTGCTAATATCCAATGTGAGAAATCGTGACTCGAACAAGAAATGTCAATTGCATTTACAACATATGATATCTATCAAATATGCATTCAATGGCGACTTTGCATGAAGACCAATAAAAAAGATATTGGGGGGATATTTACAAGTCGAACAAAAGTACAAAATTGATAAATAATGAAGATATGTGGCGCCTCAGGATTAATCTAGCACCACTGCACGGCTGATCAATGGAAACAAACGGAGCAGCTACTGCAGTCGCGTCCTCTATTCTAGTAACGTGTCTGTTTTCAAATCTGGACTCTAGCGTCATACACGGCAACCATAGTCTTATTGCACCGTTGTTCCAGTGACTTCATCATTAAGGTACTGGAATGGCTAGAATTATGACCAATGTTTGAGAATCTATACCGAGCAAGTGATGTTTGCTTATAATAATGATGCACTCCATTCCCCATATGGAGCTGAAATATTTGTAGAATCGCTGAGATATATAAATACACATTATTTATTAATTTATTTTTAATGTAAAATATGTGAAAGATTATCTTAAATTAATTAAAAATAAATAAATCATATTAAATATATATTTATTTGATTTACATGATAAAAAGTTAATATACTTTTGTTGTGTATATAAGAGTAGTATTAAGAAATAATAAAAAAATGTTGGTAAGAGTTTAAAAGTCTTTGTTTTAATATTTACAATATTTATGTTAAAATATTACATTTATAAATTTATGTCTCATTGTCGACACTATGCGTGTTTGAAGAAGTCTGTTCCTATTGAATAAATAACTCTTCTGTAAGTCAGAACTTTTGGAATGAACTAATTGTAAAGAAATATTAATTAACCTTCAACGATCGCATGTAAGCATCCAATTCATCTTCAGATTCATTCTGAGCTATGCTATTTTCTGGAATAATAGTTTCAGGTGATTCAGAATCGAAATATTTTTCTTCTTCATCTTGAGTTCGCAAATCTACATTATCATACGCTTCATTATTATCGACCACACTAGAACAAAATATTAAATATATAAATATAAAGTTCAAATTAATCTTAAATAATATTTTTTTTTAATAATACCTATAATCAAAATCAGGATCCTTTCCTTCTAGAAAGCTTTGATACATATGTGTCACAAATTCTTCTTTGAGTATTTGTTTTTCTTTATTTGAAATTTGTTGTACAGATTTATGTGTCTGTTTTTTTTTGGTTTCTTGTTCCTGTTTAACTGGAACATCAGTAAATTCACCCCAAGATTTAATTTGTTCTGTTTCCAAGTTAGATTGTTTCGATAAAGAACTTTCATTTGTATCGTCAGAATCATTCTCCTCTATAACATTATCTTCTTCTTCTTTTTGTGATTTTTCACGCTCTTTAACCCAATTTCTTTCAATACTTTCCATGAGGAGATGAACAAAAGTAGTATTTTTCATATCTATGTTATCACGAGTTTCTTTTTGCTTTTGTGTTAAATATTGCCCGACAAGATGTTCATACAATAATGGGTTACGCTTCATCATTTCACATTCACTGAAATATTCTCCTTCCTCAATTAATTTTTTAAGTGCTTCATATCGCCTATTTTTTATATCTCTCTGTCGAATGGAATTATTAAAATGTCTGTGTAATCTATTTATATGATAAGATACTTCATAATTTTCATCCTTTACACTATCAAAATATTTTAAATATTCTTCATTTAAATGATGTCCAAATTTAGCAAGAAATAAACAATAGCTTTTTTTAAGTAAATCACTAGCAATCGTTCGTTTCTCTTCAAATGTCAATTCGGGATCATCTTTTTGTTGACTTTTGAAATTTGCATCACTCCCAGCCAAATAATTTAACAATTCATTTTCCAAATTGTTTTTAACCTCTGTCATTGTTTTCATAAGATTCTGTTTGACACTTGAAACCTGTTTTTCCATAAACATAATTTTACTTTCTTAATAATTGATACTTTTATTTATTTTTATACATAATCATATACGTATAATTTATTCTATAAATATTACGAAGTATTATGGTTGAATGTAGATTAACAAAAAGTAGAAAAAGATATAGTTTTCCTTTTCTAGTTATATAAACGATGTAATCACAAACATGTGCTCAAATTCATTCTCCTTAGCATATTATTTACTTAATTTTTTATTTATTATCTAAAAATATATAGTTATGTGTAAAGATTATTTAAAATCGATAATATAAATTAATTTAACGTCACTATTATCTACCGGACCAGATTCGAAACGTGAGTAGTAGTTGGGAACCCTCGCATTAATCACAGTTTAATTTTGGGTTAACCGCATCAACTTCGCATATACTAAAAGCGTTGTCAAAGTAGTGTAATTGCATATATAATGGAAAATAAAAATCATAAAAAAGTGTGAAATATATAAAAGTAATAGATATTTTTTTAATTGTGCAAATATATAAATAATATATTACGATTTTTTCCATAACTGTTATATTGTGTTTTATCATATTTTCCAAGTGACTCACATTATCTTTGTTTGAATAAATTTAATAGAGAGAGAGAGAGAGAGAGAGTGGTTATTTTTTTGAACTTTTTTTTTCTTTGTCTTAATATCTAAATATAATTGTAATCTCTTTCTATGACAAATGTGTAATCAAACAAAAAATTGATAATGTTATTGATGATGTTTTAAATGATTTCAATTATTTTTGTGTGTATTAAATACTCTTTTTTAGTATATATTGAAATATATTTCTTAATTTATGCATTTATTTTTTATTTATAATAAAATTATATAATGTTTTATAACAAAATTTGTTTTATCTCCAAGGTAAATTGATAACGTAAAAGTATGGAGAATGCTTGGCTAAGAGATACAGGTGGAGGGACATGGGATTGGAATTGGACGGAATTATGCGGACACTCTGGTGGCATTAAACCATTAAATCCTGAAACACATGATCTTGGAATTTGTTTTCAACAACTTTGCCTTCAAGTATTATAATAGAACTCATATAAATAATTAGAATACCTTTATATATATCTAGTTATTTGATTTAAATGTATTTGATTATTTACAGATACCGGTTTTAACTTTAATAGCCATTATTTCTGCATATCATTGCGGAAAACAAAATGCCTCTCTACTTCGTGGAAGTCACTGTCACTATGCAATAACTCTTAGGATTTTAATTACTCTCTGTCTCATAGTGCTTCCTATAATAAGGGCTTATATTATTTTAACTAATACTACTATTTCTCCAATGCATAAAGAATTCAAGAGTAATACGTCTATAACTAATACGCCAGATACATTACCGCCAAACAACAAAGATTTCAATTTTGAGTCTACCGATGTATTAAATAGTATCCGCAATGGAATTAATTACACAGCAAATTTTGCCAAATTAGTTTTTTCACCTAATAGTATAAAAACCACACATTCTCCAATACTATTATCATATTCACAAGAGCATATACCAGAACTTACTGCATTGGGAAATAAAGCAACCGCTGCTAAACCAATTGATTATCTTGTAGCAGGAACTGAAGGGTTAGCATGGGTTGTTCATCTTTGCTTTATTATAAGCTTGAGGAGAAGAAATAATTGCAATGTGCGTGGTCCATTATTGATTCGAGCATTGATAATTTTGTTATCTGTCATTTCCATATTACTACTGCGAAGTCATTATAATAACACATCTATGGATGATGTTCTACCTAACTTATCATTGGGATTCAGTATCAGTACAGTAGCGCTTTTGATACTTTATATATTAACATTAGTACCTGTCAATATTAGATCGCAATCTACAAGATCTCCTTATGAAGTAAGTTATAAAAAATTGCTGATCTTTTTAATCAAAATTTATTCCATGCATTTATTATTTATATTATTTTTATATTTTTATAGGTAGGGGAACATACTGCATTATTGAATACACCAACTTCATCTTACATACATTTTCCTGGAGACCAAGACCCAAGTTATCTCGGGACTGCAATGGAGGATGCTACTTTGGGTTCTAAATTGCTATTCCATTGGGTGACACCACTGATGGAGAAAGGTGTTCAAGGATTATTAAATCATACTGATGATTTATTCGATTTACCAGAAAATATTACTACAAACACCATTTCTCAAAAAATAGATAAACATTCTAAGGTTCTTATAAGTAGCAAAATATTTATTTTTAGTGTATTCGTTATTGTTTATGTTATATTTTATGAAATTAAAATATGCTTCAGATTCAAACTTTGACTAATGGTACAGAGGATATAATTACTAATGAAAGAATATTGCAACAAGATACGAATGTTATCCAAAATAAATTAACATTACTAAATCTTTTACATAAATGTTTTGGATGGCAATTTTATGCAGTTGGAATATTAAAGTTCATTGCAGATTGCTCTTCATTTATGGGACCTATATTACTGAGTAGATTAATAAGTTTCATTGAAGACAAAAATGAACCTATTTCATATGGATATTTATATGCATCTTTGATAATCGTTAGTGCTTTAGTAGGTAAGAGTTTTTAGTTTTATTTTCATTTTTATAGATAATTAATATATGATATGTTATTTTACAGGTGCTTTTTGCAATGCACATTTTACATTTTGGATGTCCCTTGTTGGTTTGAAAATACGATCAACAATTGTTACGCTGATTTATAGAAAAACATTATACTCTTCTAATGTTCATTTACATCAGCAATTTAATTTTGGTGAAATTGTTAATTTTATGACCACAGATAATGATCGGCTTGTTAACAGTTGTCCAAGTTTTCATACATTTTGGAGTATACCACTGGAGGTAAATTTTTTAATTTTGATGCATATACATAAATTATATCAATATAAACTAAATTTTTAATTTATTTTTAGCTAATTGTGACATTATATCTACTCTATCAACAAATAGGAATTTCATTCCTAGCTGGAGTTACTTTTGCAGTTATACTTATACCAATAAACAAAATAATAGCGAATAAAATTGGTGTACTTAGTACAAAATTGATGGAATATAAAGATAAAAGAGTTAGAATTATGGGTGAAGCATTACGTGGTATAACTACAATAAAATTGAATGTATGGGAAGAACATTTTTCAAGGAACATTTTTAGTTAGTATACTGTATCAATTTATATGCTAAAGTAATATTGAACAATTTTTATTTAGGATTTTGTTTTTAGAATTACGAGAGAAGGAAATAAAATATTTAAGCGGAAGGAAATATTTAGATGCCTTATGTGTATACTTTTGGGCAACAACACCTGTTTTGATATCAATTTTAACTTTTACGACATATGTACTACTTGGAAATGAACTTAATGCTAAAATAGTCTTCACTAGCATGGCACTATTAAATATGTTAATTGGTCCACTGAACGCATTTCCATGGGTATTGAATGGTCTTACAGAAGCATGGGTTTCAGTCAAGAGAGTTCAAAAAATGCTAAATGTGCCTATATTTTTCAAATAAATTTTAAATATCTTTTGTATATATCAAATTATTAATGAAATCTATTTTATGTTAAGTAGTTACCAGATATGAATATATGTTCATATTACATGGAAAGTCCACCAGGAATTGAGATTATGTTTAAAAATGTGACAACTGTGATTGGTCAAAATAATGATAGCGTCGAGCTTTCGAATGTCAAAGATGTAACGAAACCTTCTTGTTCTAATACAGAGACTAAAAAGAATGTTACTTTTGAAGATAATAATATCTTCAATTTGCGGGACATTAATATTACAGTACAAAAGGTAATTAATATTTATGTATGGATTTTCTTTCAACAAATCATGATCGATTTATGCAGGGACAGTTGATTGGAATTATGGGTGAAGTAGGCAGTGGCAAATCACTATTGCTTGATGCTATTTTAGCAGAAATAACTAAAGTTCATGGTACTATTGCATTAAGCGATATAAACAAAGGTTTTGGATATGTGAAGCAAAATCCTTGGTTACAGTGTGGTACTATTCGAGATAATATACTTTTTGGAAAATCTTATGATTATAATAAATATAAGTAAGTACTCTTTTAAATAATCCTGCTTGAATATATATATTATTATATATATGTAATAAAATATCATATCAATATATTTTTATATTATGTAGGAGTATATTGGAAGCATGTGCTCTTCTTGATGATATCAATTCATTGCCAAAAAGAGATTTAAGTGCCATAGGTGAGGCAGGAAACACATTAAGCGGTGGACAGAAAACTAGAATTTCTTTGGCTCGAGCTATATATGCAGATAAAGATATATATTTATTAGATGACGTTTTAGCAACATTAGATACCAATATAGCCGCTCATGTTTTTCAGCATGCTATTTTAGGTTTATTAAAAAATAAAACGAGGATATTATGCACACATCAAACTCAATACTTGATACATGCAGATATAGTTATAGAAATGTTAAATGGAAAAATTATCAAGATGGGCAAACCAAGTGATGTTATACCTGATGTAGAAGATTATTTGTTATCTTCTGAATCATTTGGAATTGGTTTGAATCATAGATTTAAAAAAATGTCATCAAATGAATTAAATCAACTTGTAAACTTAGAAGAAGATGCTGCATATAATGAAGAATATACAGAGAAAGGAAATTTAAAGTTTCAAGTATATACATCATATGTTACAGCTGTGGGACGTTATTTAGCAATATCTATATTGATTTCTATGATTTTAATGCAAAGTTCCAAAAATATGACAGATTTATGGTTGTCTTATTGGGTTACACATACTAATATATCGTCGTTCAATTCAACCATTAAGCCATTATCAATAAAATTAAGATATTACCTCAGCAATTCTATTGTACAAGATAATAACTATTACTTAACTGTATATGGCCTCTTAGCCTTATTTAATTCAGTTTTTACATTAATAAGAGCATTTATATTTGCATATGGTGGAATTCAAGCAGCTACTTTTCTTCATAAACAACTGTTAAAAACTGTGATAAAGGTATTGAAAAGTTAAAATTTGTGTGAGAATGATAATTACATTATTATATAAATATCTTTTATGGTATAATTTTAGGCTAAAAGTATGTTTTTTGATGTTCAACCATTGGGAAGAATTATAAACAGATTTTCATCGGACACATATACAATTGATGATACCTTACCATTTATTATAAATATTTTATTTGCACAGTTATTTGGTTTAATTGCCACAATCATTGTAACATCCTATGGGTTACCATGGATATTTTTAATTTTGGCTCCACTTGTCCCAGTTTATCATTGGATACAAAATCATTATAGGTATTATGCTTGAAAATTTTATTACTAGCCATCACGAAAAGTTATTTTTAATGTTGTTATGTGATTGATTTATATTATAAATTTAATTTAAATTTAATTTAAATTTAGATTAACGTCCAGAGAGTTAAAACGTCTATCCAGTACAACTCTTTCACCTCTTTATGCTCATTTCAATGAAACGTTGTGTGGACTTAGCAGTATTAGGGCCTTTCGAGCTGTATCTCGTTTTGTACAAGAAAATGAACTTTTGTTGGAAGCTAGTCAAAAAACACAATTTGCATCAATTTCGGCGAGCCAATGGCTGTCTCTTAGATTACAATTTATAGGAGTGGCACTTTTAGCTGGTGTCAGCATTATAGCTGTTTTACAGCATCAGTATGATATAGCAGATCCAGGTTTAATAGGTCTAGCTATTACATATGCTTTATCCATAACAAGTTTATTATCTGGTGTAGTAAATGCATTTACTGAAACAGAAAGAGAATTGATCGCGGTCGAGCGAGTAAAACAGTATTTGGATAATATTCCAATAGAGACTATAGGTGGAGATAGTCCACCATTTGCTTGGCCAAGTCAAGGTGTTGTAGAGTTCAGTAATGTTGTTCTAAAATATAGGCAAGTATTTAAAATATAATTACTATAATATATTATTTAATTATAATTCTAACTGAAGATTTTTCTTGTAGAGAGCATTTAATACCATCATTGAAAGAAGTATCATTTATTACTCGGCCAGCTGAGAAAATTGGTATCGTAGGACGTACCGGTGCCGGAAAAACTTCTATTTTTACTTCCTTATTTAGATTAGTAGAAATAAGCTCAGGAAGTATATTAATAGATAACGTTAATATACGAACTTTGCAATTGAATGCATTAAGGTAAAATTAAGTTTTTTTTTTTTTTAAATGTAGCATATTATATATAATATAATTGTTTATACAAATAGATTTATAAAAAATTATAAATGTAATTCTAGGTCTCGACTAGCTATAATACCTCAGCATCCATTCCTTTTCTCAGGGACTATTCGAGAAAATGTTGATCCATTAAATCAATATCCAGATTTACATATATATAAAGCTCTAGAGAAATGTAAGGTTCATTCATTAATTTATCGTTTAGGAGGTTTGGGTGCTCAATTAGACGAAGGTGGTAGAAATTTGAGTGCAGGCCAGAGACAATTGTTATGTTTAGTTAGAGCTATTCTACATAATGCTAAGGTATATTTAAGTTAATATTAATATCTTCAAAAATATATGAGATTATTTCTAGTGATACGTATGTTTAAATAAACAAATTTATATTTTTATAGATAGTTTGTATAGACGAAGCAACTGCCAATGTCGATCAAGAAACGGATAAATTTATCCAAACAACAATAAAGTCTTCTTTTCGAAGTGCCACTGTAATTACTATAGCTCATAGAATAAGAACAATTATGCATTGTGATAGGTATAATAATTTAACTATTTAAATATTTAATATGTAAGTGTGAATACCAAAATTTGTATTTAATTGTTGGTCTTCTATTTTCTAGGGTATTAGTAATGGGCGATGGAGAAGTATTAGAATTTGATGAACCAAATATACTAATACAAAATTCAGATTCGTATTTCTATAATTTAGCTAATCAAGAGTTTTCAGATAAAGAATAAATTTAATGCGATTTAATATCTTTTAATATTAATACTTTTTTAGAATTTATATTATAGAATATAATCATAATTGTATATACGATTATTTTCCTAATATTAGATAACGATCGCATGTAGATAAATAATGCGTAAGATATAATGTTATTGTTAATATAAGATAATTATATTTTTATATATAAGTCTGAATAAGAGATGAGAAGAATGATATAGCGAAAAAAGGTAGTTGTTTAAGTATTGAATACAAATGTGTATAAATAATTTATATAAAACGCTAGATCAAATATTAGCGTCATGCGACGTTGTTGAATGCATTTTAAATCATTTATTATTTGTTACTATTTGATATTATTTTTGATATTAGTAAAATTGAATGTGAAATCAGCCAAATCAATATATCCCTTTTGGAACTGATCTAATTCCTTAAATGTCTTATACCATACTAATGGTGATATTCTCATATCAATATTTTCACTGGTTTTCCATAAATCTATCATCGTTAAATATCCTTTATCTATAGACATATAAATATATTATTTTTAAATTAGAAAACAATCTAAAGTTTTATATCATTTGTAATACTTACTATCACTATCTATTAAGCCAAATATAGTTTCTAAACTAATCGTCAATTGATTTATTGGATATTTTTTAAATACCCAATTTTCAAATTCTTTGAATGAGATCTTTTCGTGTGAAGAAGAGCGAAAAACATAATTTATCTCCAACTGTAATAATAACGTAAATTTGTTAACAGAAACAAATAATGATTTTACTTATCGAACTTTATTAGGGCAGTAACCAAACAATGCCGTCATTGCTATTTTATATTGATGTTTTGTTAAAGATCCTTCATTATTCCTGTCAGCATAATCGAATGCCTATAATATACATATATTTAATAATACAAATTTTAAAAAATGTAAAGACGATGTAGGTACTTGTTTGTTACCGTTTTTATATATCGCTGAATATTAAGATTCATTAGATTTTTCGGAAAATAATTGTAGATATTTAAATATTTATAAAATTGAGATTGAAGTTAGTTTAATAAATTTATTGCTTAGATTGATTTATACTAATAATTGGTAAAGATCGATAAATCTTTTTTTCAGAATTAAAAATTATGAAACTTATTTTCTTTCTCTTTATATAAACAAATGTGTCGTAATTTATATTTTATATGAAACATATGAATGTTAATCTCATAGCCGATAATTGTTATTATCTATTTTATTGAAATATTTAGCATTCTACGATGGAAACCGTTTTCGCAGCCAATTAGCGTACTGTCGTAAACACTGGCACTCGCTTCTCAGCTTCATCTGGACTGACATAACGTCTATAGATAACTGCATTCAGGCATTCACGCGTATTCAGTATTATGTATGTATATATATGTATAATTCCTCGCCCTTCTCTGTCACCATTACAAGGTGGATGAAAACTAATGAGCTGTAATCTCGACTAATTTGCACTCTAATTTTTTAATTGCCCGTCTTTTAGACAAAACGCTTGGTACTTTCTACCTTCCATCATAAGAAGAAAATACGTATAATATAAAGGAAGAAATAATTATAAAAAAAGATCCCCATGTGGGTTTTAGATCCAAATGCATACTTTTGATGTGATATTTCAAGTTCAAAAAGTTGTATTAACTGAGCGTTACTTTCAATGACTCGAAAAACTTTTAACAAGGAAGCGTATTATATTTAAGTTGTAAAGCCTAAGACTGTGGTGAAGAATACCTACTTATAACAGGAGCACAAGAAGACTAACAATGAAATAAAATTTGCTTCGTCGGAGTTTCACGGTCAAGAGTCGGATTGACTTTTCAAATTAAGACCTTTGAATTTTCTCTGTTTGAAATCGCTGGAGCGTAAAATCAAATGAGTCTTTTAAACGAGTTTATGTTTCATTCCGGTAATCAAAATACACCGTTGGTGACATTTAAGATTAGTTTTTGTCGTGTATTAGAGGGTCCTCAGATTTCTTTATTAACTCGTCTTGAAATGTCTCTGGAAATCTTGTGAAAATGTTTAAAAATATTTAAATAACGAGAAATCATTCTTGAATGAATGATCAATCCGCTAGAAACTAAGTTTTCATATTTATCAATGACTTTCGATACAGGAGGTTTCTTTTCGAAAATGATCTCGTTTGTTAAGAGGTTTAACGGATCTCGTAGGAATATTTGAAATTTCATCTTACGCGTAGGTTGTCGTGACACGGTAGGTATATATCTCCTTTCACCCCTGCCCGTCTCGGCGAGTACTCGAGGCTTGAAGCATGGTCGCTGCCGTAGGGGTTGCCTGCTACGCCAAAAGTGCACCTACTGAGGGTCGGTTCAACGAGTACGCAGAGGCCCTAGAGGCCCTTGCCGTCACAGAGACCGCGCTTCGTTCTTTGAAAACTAGTTTGCGCCATGATGGAACACGCTTGGCTCACCTGGAACTCGGCAAAAAGTTGCGGTTAAATTGCGTAATGATAATTTGTTTGTTCATAGCAGGTCAGTGTTACTCTTTATGTGTTGTCGATAGTATAATGGAAAATTCAAATGAGTTTTGTTTTAAAGTTACAAATATTGCGTGGGCTTTACGATTTCGATTTTCGCGATAAACAAAAAAAAAAAGAACGAAAATACGATGCCAATGTCGTTGATATATAGAAAAATGATTCCCTTCGATCATTTTACTTTTCCACTCGGAATGCAATGTAACTGTCCAGCGTTACGCCGATTGCTCGTTCCACTCGACCATATATTCGAATTAACTAGAAACGACCATAACTCATTACACTCACAATTCCCTTTTCGTCAGAAGCACGCGAACAACGCGTTGTTCGCACAAATCACAATTTTCCCTACTGCAAGCCGGCGGAGAACGCACTTTTTGCAATCTGCATCTTGAAAAGTATGTAACGAAAGTTTTATGTATAACATGAACAAATATCTTTTCATTTTCTACGGATTTTATACTTCCTTTGATTATTAAACGAATATAGAAAAATGTTCTGACGTCTATATATGTGATCGATGCTGAATGTGCTAAAAATGTCCGGTGCTAGTGGTTCGAAGTAAAGTCTGTCCGGTACTAGGTGTCACTTCCACAAATTGTATATTTTTTTTCACCTAAGTTTAATATCTGTTTTTAAATATGATTATATAGAAGTTGTATTTTTGTTAATTTATATTGATTCTAAAATTTGTGTTGACTTACATAATTAATAAATAAAGTTACATTTTTCGCGAAATAGTTTTTATTTTATTTCCTGAAAACTTTAGGTGTCCGCCACTGGAGAACTTCCTCCCCCTATATATCAAAATTTACGCCGATGTAATGTTACAATGGTTTTTCTACGAATCAAAAAGAAAGGTAAAACGAAGAAGGAGAAGAGTGGGAGGTGACGAAAAAAAAAAAGAAAAAAAAAAAAGAAATAGATGTCACGAGACGAAAGTAACACCTCTCATATTTCCATTAACTAAGGCAAGATACGGACTGGCGCCGGTGGATTACGGCTTTTACCGTGATTAATGCGTGCAGGCGATGGGAAACATGGTGCAAAAGTGTGCTGGAGAACGCGCATCTCCCGTATGTATATCGCGGTAGGAAACGCATTCGTGTCGTAACACGACAGAATCGTATCCGGGTTTACCATTTTCTATCGAGTTTTCCCCTCGGTAAACGCGCGTTATTCGCGTCTCTCCACTCACAGTCAAATGAGTTCCCTTAACACTTTTCTTCTTCCCTATTCGTCAGCCAGTAGATATCGCATTGTAATTTTAGATAATATTTGTTTTATCGATGATTACGCTGGATGGGATCGCTGATAATCCAAGGACGTCTCGACACTCCATTTTTATGGAAAATGGATCTTCGAGCGCGATCGTTTTCTTACGAGCTTCCTATCTTCCTATTTTTTGTCTCTCTCTTTCTCTCTCTTACTTTCTCTTTTTATTTCTTTTCCTCTCTTCTTGTCTATGATGGATTGTCTTTTCATACCTGTCCTCGCACACGTTGTTGATTTTTCTCATAATGATGATGAAGATCTCTTCTTTGCTCGCGAAACTCGAGATAACTCTGATCCACCGTTTTTTGAGTTAAAAGTCAGAAGATAAATAAAAGACGACGATTTATCCTGATGATGGAAGATAAAAGGATAATGAACAGTGAAGAAATATATAGGATTACTGAGATAACGAGAATAGAATCTAACTTACTTGGTTACTCATGTATATTCTCTTTCGTTAAATAATATGTAAAACAGTCGATCTTTTGGATAATAAAATTCAACGTATATACATAATTAGCAATTTTGGAATTTATAATTCAGTTGACTTTTCGATCGTGCATATTATTTTATCGGTACTTATAGGTAATCGAGCTTAGGGAAGTTAGTTAGAAGAATAGTAGAAGGGTGAGTAGAATAGTTAGCTCGTATGTCGTCTATGAATCAACGTACGGAGAACTCATCGATCGAGGACTAGGAAGAATCAAGTGGGTCAGTGTCATGCTCGTATATCATATATGCTCATATACATACAGATTAAACCCTGTTGTTAGCTACGTATACAGTATACCTGTGAAAACTTTGTTTGTATATATGTACATGCACCATCAGGTGATTTTGGATGGAAAAGGAAACCGTACGATTACATGAGAGAGAAACGATGTCTTCGATGTTGTTAGAGTAAACAAATTTTCTGTACACACTTTTCTACCTCCTTCTTCCAATTAATGCGACGCACTTTTAAAAAGTTATCTCGTAAATTTCTGTTGAGAATTCGTCGAGGGATAAGCACGTGTTTCGACGCGACGTATTTTCTGTCTGTTTCTCTCTCTTTCTTTTACACTTTCTCTTGTACATATACATACTCAGTCACGTTATAGAGTCTGTCGCGACGAGAAATGGCGGAGACACGAGAGAAGGTGGCGGGTCTTTCTACATTTACTTCTGTCCTGCGGAATCATTACTACGTCTCGAGTTAAGCGAAGCGAGAACGCCCGTTGACGGCAACCGTTGATGCGTTAAAGGTATGAGAGGAGCTCTCTCTCTCTTTCTCTTTCTTCCTCTCTTTTTCTTCCTCACTCTAACTCTTTTTTCTAGATCGTCAAGGCGGCCATTCATAACTCGTGCATCGTAATTGACGAGCCATGTGAAAGGAGGATCGTTGACGAGCGAATCTTATCGTCTGGTATTATGTAAATTTTTACGTTAAGTCTAACGGTCATTCTGGAAATGAGTCGTCTTAAAAGAGAAGACACTTTTTCTATATATGAAAAACTTCCTTTCGTTAACGTTCGTAAGTTGTTCATTGAACAATAATGAATGATTATTGTAATGGATTGCGAATACGGCCAGTTCTCCTGATAGCTTTTCGTATAGAATCAGAAGGTAGGTTGATTTGAACCAACCGTTGGGTAGCTTTGTTAGAACAACATTATAATAATTTAGCAGCGAACTGTGTCAAAAGCATACGATTGGCTAGCCTAACATGCGTGTTCGGTTCGTATTCAATACGAAATTGATGCAACTCAGGATGGAGATGCAAGTCAAACGTGTAAGCATAAAGCGAGGTAGCAATTGGATTGCTCTATTTCTGTTTATCTCTTTCTCTTTCTACAAATTTAATTGTTGAATATAAATTAACAAATGTATCTTCATTTAGAAACTTTTGAAATTACTAAAACAAATATCTTTGATTTTTACCTTTTTCCTTTTAAAAGAATTAATTTAAAGGCAAATAGCATTAATTAATATCGAAGGATCAACAGAGAAAGAGTTTTCTTTTTACTATAGGAATCGATATCCGGCATTAAACGTATTTCGATAATCTATTTAAAAGTTACTGTAGGATCAATGTTAGTTTACGTAAACGATAAACCGTATATACTATCTTATCTTTATAATACCATCGTACTGTTCTAATATAATAAGATTTCCATGATAGGAAAAGGATCGATCTTACTCTTGAGGATATTCCTTTAATTGGGCCGGTAAGTTGGTATAAAGGAGAGAAAACAATGTATAGAAAGTAATCTTAACGGTTTAATTGTAGAAAAAGGAACGTTCTAGTTTTCAAGATGAAAATAGAATCCTGAAACGAACAGAGATTTCACAGGATAATAAATTCGATTGTATTGACAGTACCTACTCGAGATGTAACGGTAATGTTGCCAATTAACTGGAAAGTAAATTCTGCTTGATCTGTCTTTCGTTCTATATCCATATATTATACGTATCTAGTACATAAGTAATGTATAAAGTATGTATGTGTATATATTGATTACTCTTGAACCATCATATTGATTTATCAGATTCTTAGTAATTGTGTACATTCAATGGACTTCGATATACTTCACCATGTTTTCTAGAACGGGAGAAGTTGAAATTGTATGTAGATATATACATAGTATACACATAAATACTGAATACGGTGATACTCAGTTACCAATCGTACGCACCGTTTTACTTCTTCTCATCCTTTTTTCTCTTCTAGTTCGTTCCTTCCTGACAATGTATATCCGGTTACACCCCTAACCCTCGTAGCTTGATGTTAAATGTGAGCTGACAGAAACACGTGTAACTTTCAATTGACTGAGCAGTCACTCGAAGATTTGCAACAGGGTTCCTTAATTGGGTTAAACGAATTTGGTCGGATCGCGTGCACTGTCCACGAGTATATACACACACACCCTCGCGCATTTTCCAAAGTAAGAGTTTAAGAGCCGAAGGACGGCTTCGTATTGTGTATTGGTGCGATAAGATGAGTAGGACGACGTTGGTTATTCCAAAGGGTTGAACATTTTCGAAGGGTTGAAATTAAAGACAGGCACACGTAGAATAAACGAACCCTTCCACAGAAATCTATTTCGACGCTCCATTGGTGTACGATTATAAAAGAGGAAAAACAGAGTTTTGGGATAAATAGGGTGTGTAACCTCGAGAAGAAAAGAAAAAGAAAAAGAGAAAAATGCAAATTCAAAGAATTCTCGTTACATTTGGAAAAGTGAAGTGTAATATCACTGAAAGAGATACATTTTATTGGAATCAAAGATGTTGTACAGTTCTTATTTCGCAGGAGGAAAGTGTTGTGACTCGAAGTTTAAGCATTTTCAATATCAACATCGTCATAACCGTGGGGTGTATCATCGAGTTGAAAAAGAGTAAACGACGATGGAGGATGAGGTTTGGAGTGAGAACGAATTCGAGACAAGCGACCGTCTGTCTATCTATCTATCTGTCTGTCTGTCTGGCTGGCTGGCTGGCTGGTTGACTGGCGGAGGAGGATTCGTTATGAGGCAAGGCTTCCCTTGCTTTAATGGAATAAAGCACCGGAAAAAAGTACCGCCTTCCTCTCGCGGGATTCTGCTTGTAAACGATATTATTACGAGGTCGCGCTTAAATATCTCTGTGCCTTCATCATCCTGCCGAGGACTTTCTATTTAGTTCGACAGCGTAGAAAGGGGATGAAGTTTCCGCACTCCCCGATAGCGGCCACCTCTTTATAATCCATGCTTCATTTGGCATGTAATATCGTGACTGCTTTTACCAAGAGTATAGTACATACATACATATTAGATCTGAATAAATTGTGATCTGAATGAATAAATTCCAATTTTATTTAGTAATAATATTCTTCTGAAATAGAAAATTATTTCTAGGTTCTTCTTCTTTTTTTGATTATTTCTATCTCAGTTATATATTTTTTAGAAGATTTAAATATTATTCTACTATTTAGCACACAAATGGTTTTTCTTTTTATAAACATTTGAACTCTTTCTTATGTCTTTGAAGAATAAAAATAAGATAAAGAAAATTATAGATGAATAAGAGAACACAAAAGTATGGAAGATTTATTATAGAAAAGGAAATCTTTTTTAATATTTCAAAGGAAATTTCTGAAGATCCTCTCAAATCTGATAAAGTTAAGATTAAGGAAAGTCCAAATAAATCATGAATTAATCTGAAGAATACATAGAATAAAGGAACGCGAGGAAAAATAACGCGTTGAAGTAATGGACAAGTTTTTTCAGCATATTTCAAATTTTGATAAATAAATTACAGTATTTAACGTTTGCGAAGATCTTATTGGCGAATGATTGAAATTTTTCACTTATATATCGAAAAATCTATCATTTAAATGAAGCGACAAGAAAGTCTACCAATAAAAAATAAATTGTCAATGTCCTTTGAATTCATTTTAATTAATTATTTTGGCAACCGAAGCGAGAGAAAATCATTTTCAAGTGAAACGTTAAATGTTGCACGCATTTCCAGACGGTTTTATCGTATGGGTAATGATTTTTAACCGCGACTCGTTTGTTATATACGTAATTATTTTCTATAGGTTACGTTAATTAATAAACAGTAATGGCTGTGTAATAAAGGTTATGGAGCTGGCACGTCGATTTAATTGCACAGGCACTGTACGTTCTACCCGGCTCGAGGACATTTTTATACGCACTAACGCGTCGGAAGTACTTCGTTAGCTCGAGTATTAATCGAGACAGCCGTATGTTGCTAATATATACTAGAAGAGATTAGGGTAAATAGGAAAGTTAATATTATTAGATAGTTTAAGGTAATCGTATCATCTAAATGTTCGTTAAGAGATCTCCGAACGATTTTGATAGAAGTTTTGAAGTACTTTGACGTCAGATTAAGGTAACCAATATGTTGGGGAAAAAGTAGGAAGATTGACCCTTTACCGTAACCGAACAATCGGGGTGACTTCGATAAGATCCCTTTCGCTTAGCTCGTGCAAAACAGAATCGTAAAGTTCACTGGTTGTACGGCCTTGGAACGTCGTATAGTAAATTGATAGTGATAAGATCTGCTCGTCTCTTGGTTTATTTGGTCGTAGAGACACGACTCCGAGGGCTGTTGGGCTATGTACCAGCGAAATGGTAAGATTATTTTAAGGCGTATCTTGCTCTTATGCGATTTCACGAAGTACCGTCAACGGGAAGAACCTCGACGTCTGTGGTTTTCACTAAGACTCTGACGAGTAAGATTCAACATGGACGAGAGAGGCAAGAGTACTTTCGACGTAAGAAAAAGAACCGTGTCTGCTGATGGTTTCTTTGCGATATCTTTCCGGGTAAATATTAGGCGGATACGTGCACTGGAAGTAGCTCCAATGTTTTCACTTAATATCTTCTGAATGTAGACCCAACTAGCAACCAGTATTCAAGGAAAAGCCATTGCGAGAGCCATTTTCCGTGAACA